GGATCATCTTCCTTCCTCCCTCCCTCCTCCTCCCTCCCTCCTCAGGATGTCTTCTTTGAGGAAAGCTCCTCTACTAGGTGAATTGAGTGTGCATGCAAGGAGGTGGAGATACTGGGATTGCAACTTGAAAGGCTGGCGCAGGCTCGTTTACTACTACAGCCCCATGGCGGAAGTAGCAACCACCCTCCCTCGGCCCCTGGGCCCTCAGCCTTGGGTCAGTAGGTGGGAAACTGGGCTGGAAAATGGAGCCCTAGAAATAGAAAATCAATGCCTCTGTCTTGGGGGGTGGTGTGCTCCAAGGACACAGGGCCTGTTGATGGTGAGATGTGGGATGTCTGCGTCTCGGGGGTTTCACACTCAATGACTTGGCAGCGTTGGACCCCTGAGTGGGTGAGTGTGTCTCCTAGAAACTCAGACCTCATGATCACTCTTTATTCTAAAATGTTCTGTTTTCTTTAGAAAGAAATTCTAGAGGAGCGCCCGGGTATCTCAGTCAAGGTTAAGTGTCCAACTCTTTCAGCTCAGGTCATGATCTCAGGGTCCTGAGATGGAGCCCCATATTGGGCTCAGCGCTTAGCAAAGAGTCTGCTTGTCCCCCACCCCTTACCCCCGAAACAGATAAATAAAATCTGGAAGGAAGGAAGGGAGGGAAGGAGGGAGAAAGGAAGAATGGAAGGAAGAAAGATCCTAGGAAGAGTCCCCTCCTCCTAACATTTGCCATCAAGAATTCTATTTTGGACAAAGAAAACTTTGGTAGTTTAATTTATCCCTAGGACCCGTGGGTGTGGAGGTTTTGGCCCCAGCATGTGAGGGGTTCCAGGAGAGCCCACCAAACTTAGGCCCCCACATAGTCATCCACACTGGACCTGGGGCAGGCGATGGCCAGACTGTGGGTTTCCTCCTCTCCCATCCCCCCATCACTGCCTCCAGCTTATTATTTTACCGTTCACATTTAGATCTGATTAATTTGGGGGTATGACATGAATTCATTTTTCAGGATTCTTTTTTTTTCCCCATATGGATATCTAATTGTTTCAGCTACATTTTTTGAAAAGATCATCTGTTCCCTACCATATTGCAGTGTCACCTTTGTCATAAATCAAGTGACCTTCTATGGCTGGATCTATTTCTAGATTCTCTCTTCTGTACCATTGGGCGATTTGTCAGTCTTTGTGCCGGTTCCACACTATATCAATTATTGTACTGTTACCATAAATCTTGATATTTAGTAGTGTAATCCTTCAACCTTGTTCTTCAAGATGGTGTCTACTATTCCTGATTCTTTATGTTTCTCTGTACATTTTGGAGCAGAGTCAGCTTGTCAATTTCTTTTTTTTTTTTAAGAGTTTTTTTTTTAAGATTTTCTTTATTTGAGAGAGAGTGAGGGAGCAAGAGAGAAAACACAAGCAGGGAGAGAGGCAGAGGGGGAGGGAGAAGCAGGCTCCCCACTAAGCAGGGAGCCCAATGTGGGGCTCAGTCCCAGAACCCTGGGATCATGACCTGAGCCAAAGGCAGATGCTTAGCTGACTGAGCCACCCAGGCTCCCTGTTTGTCAATTTCTACCAAAAGAACTATGCTGGGATTTTTATTGAGATTGAAACAAATCTGTAGGTTAATTTGGAAATAATTGATATCTTTATATCATTGAGTTTTCCAATCTATGAACGTTCTTTAATTTCTTTAATAATGTTTTCTGCTTCTCAATGTAGGGACCTGGCACATCTTTGATTAGGTTTATTCCTAGGTATTTGACATTTTTAATGTAAAATGGTAAATGGTGTCTGAGGGGTTGTCTCCCTAATAACACTTTTGACAGCAAATGAGAAGGGTTTTTTCCCTCTTGCGGCCATTTCTTCGACTTTCAGACACCAACTGGCTATTCAACAATTCTGTTCAATTCTGGCAGTACTTGGAGTCAGCACAGACCCCAAGGGCTCAGTCCCACAAGCCACCCTCCGCCTCAGATGCCAGTTGTGAGTCTCAGGACTCCCGTACTTCTGACCAGCTGGGTACGAGTTGAGGGTTCCCATGAGCCCCTCCTCAGGTTCTATAATTTGCTGGAATGGCTCACTGAACTCACTCATTATAAAAGATACAAGCCAGGCACAACCCAACGGGAGAGATGCATATGGGAAGGGCTGGGGTAGGAGGCACAGATCTGCTTCCATGCCCTGCCTAGCTGCCTCACCCTCCCACTACCTTGATGTGTGCACCAACCCAGAAGCTCCCAGAATCCTGTCGTTGAGGGGTTATTCTATGGAGGCTTCATTACATAGGCACGATTGATTAAATCATTGACCACTGACAATTAACCCAATCATCAGCCCCACTCCCTCCCCAGAGGTGGGGCAGGGCCAAAAGTTGGAATATTCTTTCCATCTGGGATTGCAAGGGTGTTAGGAGTTGTATGCCAGGAACAGGAAACTGAGACTAAGAATCTATTCCCCATTGTACCACAGAATCTTGAAAAAATATATATATGTATATATATATATATTTTCTATTTGTTTGCTGTTGGTATGAAGAAATAAAACTGATTTTTTTCTTTATATTGACCTTGAATCAGGGACCGTCTAAAGTCACTTATCTAATTCCAGCAGTTTGTGTGTAGATCTTTCACGATTTTCTGCATACACAATCGTGTTGTCCCAGGCAGTATTAGCCTCACCACATTCTGGATGAGTCTTAGCAGCCTCTCTTGAGGTGGGGATTTCCGTTAGCAAAGTAACTGGCCCTGATTTCTGGCTCTACTCCCCCCTCCTCCAAAACTTGAGCTCTGGTCATTGCTTCCAGCAGCTCCCCACCCTCACTACCACAACCTTGGGTCCTATGACTCTGCAGTGTCCTTTTTCCTCAGACTTCTCCTACTGCCTCTTGGGAAAAACTTGTTCTCAGGAGGAGGATCCCAGAGCCATTTACCATTTGCTAATGATGCTGTCTCCATGCATTCCTGCAGAAAAAGCTGGGCACTCAGGTGGGGCTGGGGGAGTTGGGAAGAGTATGTTTGGGGCTAAAAGTATTAGCCCACTCTTCTTTAGCTTGCAGGTATGTCCCCACACCTGCAAAAGAGTTTGAGTTCACAAAGAGGCTGGGGGGGTGGGCGGCGGCGGTGAAGCCATCAGTGAAGCTAATTTAGGGACAGAGGGTCTATCTGTGAGGCCATGAGCACAGGACTGCAGAATGAGGACTCTGGGAGCCAAAGGCTGAGAGGGAGGAGGGTATTTTACCAAACCACAAAGCGTCTACACAATGGAGAGGCAGTGAGGCTCCCAGGTCCCCCAAATGAGGCATGGTCCCTTGACCAGCGAATCTGCAAGGAAAGGCATTGGACATCTCTCTTGGATTTGGATCTGTTCCCATCCCGTAGCTGCAGGGCCCTGAGGTGCACAGAGAGGCAACGAAAAGAGAATCAGCCCCCGTTCGTTGGGGGTCTGCCCACTGAAGCCTCCCGAAGCTTTGTGAGGCAGCCTTTACTAACCCTGTTTTATAAGTGAAGAGCCCTGAGGCACAAATCGTTTAAGAAGCTTGCTCAGAGCCTCCCCAAATTAGTGGAAGACTCCCCTCAATCGCCTGCAGCTCAGCAGGTGTATTTCATTCCTAAGGGCTCTCTCCGTGGGGCTCCTGCACACGTGGGTTTGCCTATAGGGAGCATTTGGTAGACGCCCAGTGTCAAGGCCACCAAAGAGGCTGACACTCCCAAGACTCGGGATGTGGATTCACATTGACTCACAGGTGCTGAATTCCTCGTGGCAAAGCTGTGGGACAGATGAATGAGGCAAGCATGCAATTCAAGAAACAAACATGTCTGCTTCTTAAAACCTAGAAGTGACCTTTCCAGGGGACAGTAGAGCCCACTAAGTGTATTTTCCATGATAAGGAAAAAAAAATTAAAAACAAACAAACCCCATTGAGCTGCGTTGAGCTCCTTCGGAGACAGAAGCATTCAAGTGAGTCTTCCATCCACATGTGGTCTTGGCTCAGGACTCCCAGAAGGTAAGCCGGAGTCCTCACTTCACCCTGGGTTTGCGGTCTCCCCGTCTCACATCTGCATGCCCACGTCCCTGTCGACATTGCTCAGAGAGCCTTAGGCAAAGCCCAGATCAGCAAGGGACAGAGGTTTGGCTGCAAGTGATATTTTGCCTGGAGTTCTGAGACTCCAGGGAAAAGGGCCCAAAGTGGAGAGGCGCTTTCTTCCCTGGGGAGACTTACCCCTAGACAGCTGTCCTCACCCACACCAGATGTGCCCTTGACTCAGGACCCTGCTGGAATTAGGGCCAAGCACTCGGTGACCAAGAGGGCCCTTTTGGGGGTTCCTGCTCCTATGATACGTGGCCCCAGGCTGGATAACATGTTGGCTTTTTATGAATGTTGCTTATCACATAAATAGGTTTTCTGTCATTGGACCATCACAGGTCTAATCTGAGTTAAACAACAACAACAACAACAAAAACTGTAACATGCTGTTGGATTCAGTTTATTCATTTTGTTTCGGACCTTCACTTTTGTTCATACGTGGGATTGGTTCAAATTTTCATTTTCTTGCCCTATTCTTACCTGGTTTAAGAGTCAAAGTCGTACTTGCTTCATAAAAGGAATTTGCCTGCTTGCTTCCCTCTTTCCCCTTTTTAAATTATTCGACAGTGGAATGATATTTGTAATGGGCTTTGGAGCTTATAAAAACACACCCCCAGAGTCTGCCTGCTCGGCAGGAGACTTGGCACAGACAAGAAGACAGACACCTCTTTTCCTTGTTTATAGTCTGTGTTGGCTTATTTCTGGCACTTTTGTTGTTTCTGGGACTGCTTCGCTGGGAGCTAGCCATATCCCTGAAGCAGTAGGGACGAGAGGTGAGGGGAAGCCCTGGGCTGGCGGGAGGGGGCCCTGAGGGGGGGGGGGGGGGGGGGACCCCAGCACCCACTGCCGCCAACTATGCTTCCTGGGGCCAGGCAGCCATGAGGCCCCTCCCTAGAGCTCAGCCCAACCCTCCCCACGCAGGCACCATGTTCCGGAAGAAAAAGAAGAAACGCCCTGAGATCTCAGCCCCACAGAACTTCCAGCACCGCGTCCACACCTCCTTCGACCCCAAAGAAGGCAAGTTTGTGGGCCTCCCGCCACAATGGCAGAACATCCTGGACACCCTGCGACGGCCCAAGCCTGTGGTGGACCCTTCTCGCATTACGCGGGTACAGCTCCAGCCCATGAAGGTAAGGTGGGTAGGGGCGGGAGGTCGGGGGCTGCTGAGGTTAGCCTTTCCCACTCCGCAGAAGCCCATGCCTGGCCAGACCACAGAGGCCCTGGAGGGACCACCTCATCACCAGCTATCAATCGGCTGTTTTCATATCCCCACCCCCCCATGAGCCTCACCTGGTGAGGACTCCATTTCCAGGAAGAAGGAGCCTGGGGCGCCTCTCTCTGTAGGCTGAGAGTGTTGCCAGATTTAGCAAATCAAATTACAGGATGCCCAGCAAAATTTGAATTTCAGGTAACAACACATAATCTTTTAGCATTAAGTGTGTCCTGTGCAATATTCGGACCCGCAGCTGGGGCTGGGACTCCCAGACCAGGGGGATTTTGGTGTGTGGGTCAAGAAGGGCAAGAGGAGTTGGAGTCAGGGGCCTGTCAGTGTATGTGGAGGAGAGCCCTGCCCTGGTTGCTGCCTCCTCTGGGAGCTCCGTACATCTCCCATAAAGCCGCAGATAGAGCTAGAGAATGACAGCAGGCCCCCCGAGGCGGGAGGGACTCCCCCACCCCGCCCCCTCAGCTCCCCAAGCTCAGCTGCCCCCTCCATTTCAGGGGTTTACCCGCTGTCTCTGCTGCTGCGAGCCCCATGACAATAGGCTTTCTCCTTGGATCTCTGCCTCCATCCCCGCCCCCCCCCCCCGCCCCACAAGGGTCTGTCCCCTCTTCTGCCCCGCCCCTTGCCCCGCCGCCCCTGCAAGGGTCTGACCTGCCATGGTCCTGACGAGTAGCTGAAAAGTTAAGGAAGAGATGGATGACACAGGAAGGGAGGTCCTTAGGGGTCCTTCCCCAAGAAGCCCCCCACCCCACCCCATGGAGGCTTCCTACCATGAACAGGCTGCTGGCTCATGCTCTTCTCCCTCCCCCACAGACTGTGGTGCGGGGCAGCTCGGTGCCCACGGATGGCTACATCTCAGGGCTGCTCAACGACATCCAGAAGCTGTCGGTCATCAGCTCCAACACCCTGCGTGGCCGCAGCCCCACCAGCCGGCGGCGGGCACAGTCCCTGGGGCTGCTGGGGGACGAGCACTGGGCCACGGACCCAGACATGTACCTGCAGAGCCCCCAGTCTGAGCGCACTGACCCCCATGGCCTCTACCTCAGCTGCAACGGGGACACACCAGCAGGCCGCAGGCTGATACCGTGGCCAGAGCCAGAGAGCCCGAGGGTCCTCCCCAATGGGCTGGCCACCAAGGCCCAGTCGTTAGGCCCTGCAGAGTTCCAGGGCGCCACGCAGCGCTGTCTGCAGCTGGGGGCCTGCCTACAGAGCTCGCCACCCGGCGCCTCGCCCCCCCGCAGCCGCCAGCAGGCGCAGGACCAAGGCTGCCAGGCATGGTTCCGAGGAGGCCCGGCCACAGTCCTGCCTGGTGGGCTCGGCCGCAGGCAGGCCAGGCGGGGAGGGCAGCCCCAGCCCCAAGACCCAGGAGAGCAGCCTGAAGCGCAGGCTGTTCAGAAGCATGTTCCTGTCTACTCCTGCCACGGCCATGGCCACTGCGAGCAGCAGCAAGCCGGGCCCTCCCTCCCAGAACAAGGTAGGTGGGGCTGGGGCCGCCCTCAGCAGGGCCTGGGAGCCCAGCCGTCCTCATTTACAGGGTCAGGCTAGGGAGAGCGAAAGAGAACAGAGTGACCAAGAGCCTCAGCTGAGGAGTCTTCCCTGAACCAGCTGAGTCTGGTCTTCCAGGCGCTTAGCCCTGGCAAGTCAAGAGGTTGCAGGCCCGCTCATTTTCTGGGGGGCCTCCGAGGGACTTTCAGTACACCCCAATTTACATTCCTGCCCCTTACTGTGTGTCTGGGTAGATCACAGTGGGAGGCAATCACCTTTAATGATAAGCCCAGATACCCCCAGTCAGGCCGTGGCAGAGACGGGTGCTCCAACACTGGTTGGCGGCAGGGTCTTGGCCTCCCTCTCCTCAGAGCTTCTTTCCGTCTCCACCCCTCGCTTGCCCTAGTGCCCTCCTGAGGGCGACCAGAGGTTCCCTGAACTGCTTCTCCCTCAGGAGTCACAGATGTTCATGTGAACCCCTTCTCTGGTGAGGAGGATTCTTCCCTTCCTCCCCTGCCTCCACCTTTTTTTTTTTTTTAAGATTTACTTATTTATTTGAGAGAGAGAGTACAAGTGCAGGGAGGGGTGGAGGGAGAGAGAAATTTGAGCAGACTCCTTGCTGAGCTCAGAGCCTGATGTGGGGCTCAGTCCTACAACGCTGAGATGAGGACCTGAATGGAAAACTAAGAGTCCGACGCTTAACAGGCTGAGCCACCCTGGCATCCCCCTCCCCTTTCCTGGAGAGGTTGTTTCGTTTACCGTTTCTGTAATGATTTGTTTTGGGGTTCGTGTGCTCTGTGAAAAGCTGGGGGGTTGAGTTTGCCTAGGCCCGGGAGCAGCAGGAAAGCCAACTTTTGGCACGTGCCACAGCATGGAATGCACAGATTTTTCTTGTGAAATAGGAAACAGTGAAGGGACATTTCTTGGCAGGCAGAGGAGACTGCACTTGTTTCTTCCATGCCCTGTGATGTCCTGTCTGTGGTGATAGCACCATCCTTTCCCATTTGACCAATGAGAAGGTGGGCTCAGAGAGGGTTGGGGAAGCCTCAGGGGTGGAGAAAGAGTCAGGGAAGGCAGCAGTGAGAGGGCCCTCCAGGCTCTTGCTCCCCAAGGCTTTCTTTTTTTTTTTTTTTTTTAAAGATTTTATTTATTTATTTGACAGACAGAGATCACAAGTAGACAGAGAGGCAGGCAGAGAGAGAGAGAGAGAGAGAGGGAAGCAGGCTCCCTGCTGAGCAGAGAGCCCGATGCGGGACTCGATCCCAGGACCCTGAGATCATGACCTGAGCCGAAGGCAGCGGCCTAACCCACTGAGCCACCCAGGCGCCCTCCCCAAGGCTTTCTGATCATGGCATCTGCACCTCCTCCATGAGGAGCAGGCAGAAATGACCTTATGCTGCAGCACGAGGTTGGGAAGTCAGACCTAAGAAACAACAGGTGACGGAGACACAAGTTACAGAGCTCCTGTCCCCCGAGGGCTTTCAGAGCAAGCCTGGTGCCTCCCCAGCGGTGGTGCTATCTGAGTGTGCTCCAGCCAGGACTTGGGTGGAGAGTTTGGGGAGTGGCCTGGACCCTCAACCTTTCTAAGTCACTGCCAGCCCAAGGCACCCAGGGAAGGTTCTGGGCTTTGTGCCGTCACTGGGATGAAGGACGCGGGCTAGGCTCCCCCGTGGAGTGGGGGGGGCGGGTGGAGGGCCAAACAAGTGCCCAGGAGGTGAGAACTGGAACTTGATCGCTCGCTGGCCTCTTGGGAATCCTGTGGCGGGGCTTTGGGGATTTGGAAAAAGGGGTTGTCAACACTGGGCTGGGCGTGACCTGCACGTTTCTGAGCTCCTGCCAATACCCCACAGCAGGGAACAGGCTGTCCAGCCAGCCTCAGTAGGCCTGTCCATCCTTCTTTTTACCAAGGATCTACCGTAGGCCACTGCAGCAGGGTGTGCAGTGGAAACAGGGGGTCATCGTCTAGGGCTTGGAGACACCACCATTCCCAACCCAGGGCGATGGTTTCCTTCCCGGCACCTGGAGCATACATTTCTAGAGAAATACTTTCGAGCCAGGCCTCTAAAAGCCAGGAGAGAGACTTCCTCTCCGCTGATCTGGGCCAGCGCTTCTCACCCCCTGCCCCAGTGACATTTGGGTCAAATAATCCTTTGTCCTAGGGGCTGTCCTGTGCATTGTGGGATATGTAATAGCATCTTTGGCTTCTACCCACTAGTCGCAGATAGTATTTCTCAGCTAGGACAACCGGAAATCGCCCCCAGACATTGCCAGATGTCCCTTGGTAGGGAATAAAATCAGCCCCAGTTGAGAACCACTGCGTCCAGCTTCCTAGCCTACTCCCACAGCCCCAGGAACCACCAGACCAAACCAGCAGCCAGCCTTCTGCCCCTCCGTGCACCCCAGGGCTTGCTTCAGGACCCTCAGCACCTGGTTGGACACTGGTGCCCTGGGAGGTCAAGCCACCAATTGCCACCTCGGGCCAGGAGAGGCTACAGAAGGGTGTGCGGCTCTAGGGCTTTCGTACTTGGCCCCAGGAAGCGTGACCCGCAGTTACTCACTTTGACTAAAAGCAAAAGACCTTGAGGCCTGACTGGGGGCAGGGAGGCCAAAGCGTTAAGACAGGAACTGGGGGGATTTAGAAGTGGTTCCTCTTAGGCAAAAAGGCTAAGTCAAAAGACCCCAACAAAATCAGCATATCTTGGTTAAACACCTGCTGTGTACCTTGTACTTTGTTATACGTCAAGGACATCCATTAGGACCACAGCTGAGGGATGAAGGGTCAGGCTGACCAGGACTGAAGTCAACCTTGCTCTTACCATTTAGTGCCTCTGGGCAAGTTACTTAACCTCTCTGAGCCCATTTCCTTATCGACAGATACAGGTAATAATAGCACCCGTGCAAAGATAAAACAACCCAGAGGTTATGAGAATTAAATGAGATAATGCATTTAAGGGCCTTGTCGAAGCGGGACACCCTCAATAAATGGCTTTATTATTTTTAAAATATTAAGGACATGGCCTTTGCCTCCAAGGCACTTAGATTATAGGCCCCAAGCCATGGCTGGAGAGCCTGGCCCTGTTGCCATGGCCCAGGCAGGAAAGATGGCATCACTGTAACCGCATGCATGCCCCTTCTGGTGGCTTCCCACCCAAGAAGATGTCTCAGTCCACAATCCTCTGGCATCAGAGCCCAGGGGCCTTGTTAAAATGCAGAGTCACTGCTCTAAGGACTTACTGGAGCAGGATTCTGCATTCTCTCCAGCTCCCCAGATCACGTGCCCTGACAGACAAGGTGGGCTCAGAGAGGGTGAGTTGCCTGAGAGTCACGGCTGGTCAGAGCAGGAGCCATACTGGAGTCTAGGTCATGACCCCAAGTCCAGAGGTCCCACTGCTCCACTACACAGAGTGGGGAAACATGGATGAGGGTCGGGCCTGGCAAAGACATGGGAGGGTCTCTTTACCCCCCAGAGGTGCTCACTGGGCAGGATGGAGTCATGCAGCAGTGCTGGGAGGCTCTCCTGGCTCCTTGGCTGTGAAGGCTGAGCCCGAGCCAGGCATAGCCTGCCAGAGGCTGGTGCACATTTTGGAGTGTGCAGGTGGGGCGGGGGTGGCAGACTGCCACAGCTTGGCTCGCTGCTGGCAAGGGCATTTGTGTACATGCTCCCCTCTAGGCAAGATCAGGCACTGGGTAAGGGGGTGCACCCTGAAGCCCGGGGAGAAGGTGCAGAAGAGGTTGACAAGGCTCTGCTGAGCCTGGTGGGATCCAAGGCCCAGACTTGGGGTCCCTCGGCCCAAGCTGAGCGCTTAGGGAGATTTCTTGGAGGTTGCTGCAGTTCTGGGGATCTGGGCCAGGACCCAGAGGGCAACTAGACCACTGCCATATGATGGGTTCTGAGATGTTCTGGAAAGTTCTCTGCAGCCCCTCAAGTGTCCCTTGTTAGGTTATTTAGGGCCCTTTCCAGGTGCCCCTTCTAAAATCATATAATCCCTGGGAAGAATCACGTTGCACTTCGCCAGCTCCTTGGAGAGAACCCAAGGAGGGAACCCTTTCCTGTCAGGCTGGCTGGAGGGCTTGGGCTGGAGGGCTTGGGCCCTGAAAGGCGAGGAGCCTCAGAGGCTTCAGGGCTGGGCCTTGGTCTTACTGAGGCCCAGTCTGCCACTCAGTTCCATGTTCCCTCCCTCCCTGCCAGAGGCCATAAGGATTGGGGGGGGTGGGGGGCGTGCCTCCTTCCCTTCCTTGGGGGCGGGGCAGTCATCAGCCAGGAGTCATGTTTGGGACAGAGGCTGCTCTGGGGGCCTCTAGGAAACCTCCCTACCCCTGGCCTCCTAATTCCAGATCTCTCTGGCACCAGTTCCCAACCCCGGGAGACATACCTATGAATCCCCAGAGGGTAACACAGCTCTGTGGTCCTCTGTTGGGGACATACTCTCAGGACAGACACACAGGCTCCTGCTGTCAGGCACGAGTGGGGCTAGCAGACCCCTTGCTGTGGCTTCCCTGCCCTGGGCTGGGGAGCAGTCCCAGCTGCAGCGCTGCCCACCGACCCCCTGCCACCCTGCCACTGCCCAGGGCCTCTTCCGCCCACGTGGGCCCTTGGGTGGGAGCACCCCAGGAATGCAGAATGCTTCTGACCCAGATTCCCCACACAGCCCAGCAGTACAGAGGGAAGACGGCCTCTTGGTGGCCTCCCTGGGGTCTGGCTGTCAATTACCCAGGAAGAAATACCCAGCAGAGGACACCCCAGGGACTGCTCTCTTTGGCTTCCCAGGCGAGGCGGAGCGGATATAAAGAGCCCATGTTTGGACTGCTCACCTGGGAATGCTGGGGACTGAGCTCCTGAGCATGAACTTCGGGGCTCCCTTTGAAAATCCTTGCCCATGGCACCTCCCTTATTTGGTCCAATGCCCTGCCAGACACACCCCTGTCCAGAGGTCACCCCCTGCTTCTGGGAAGGTCACTCCAAATGCTCCCACAGCCAAACCCTTCTCTGTTCCTCTTTCCTTCCCTGCAGCCTAACTCCTCCTTCCGACCACCACCACCACTGCAGAAAGACCCCCCACCGAGCCTGGTGGCCAAGGCCCAGTCCTTGCCCTCGGACCCACCCATGGGGACCTTCAGCCCTCTGACCACCTCGGACACCAGCAGCCCCCAGAAGTCCCTCCGCACAGCCCCCGCCGCCGGCCCCACCCCAGGCCGGTCTTCCCCCGCGGGCTCCCCACGCACCAGGCAAGCCCAGATCAGCACCAGCAACCTGTACCTGCCCCAGGACCCTGCAGCGTCCAAGGGCGCCCTGGCTGGTGAGGACACAGGTGTTGTGACACATGAGCAGTTCAAGGCTGCACTCAGGATGGTGGTGGACCAGGGTGACCCCCGGATGCTGCTGGACAGCTACGTGAAGATCGGCGAGGGCTCCACGGGCATTGTCTGCCTGGCCCGGGAGAAGCACTCGGGCCGCCAGGTGGCTGTCAAGATGATGGACCTCAGGAAGCAGCAGCGCAGGGAGCTGCTCTTTAATGAGGTGGGAGGAGATGGCGGGACAGGGTCCGGCACTGAGGATGACTGTCCGGGAGTGGAGCCATGGGGACCGGGCCCAGCACTCAGGCACCCTCCCTCCCCATTCTGCTCCCCAGGTGGTGATCATGCGAGACTACCAGCACCTCAACGTGGTGGAGATGTACAAGAGCTACCTGGTGGGTGAGGAGCTGTGGGTGCTTATGGAGTTCCTGCAGGGCGGGGCCCTCACGGACATCGTCTCCCAAGTCAGGTGAGCAGCTGGGGCAGGGGCTGGGCTCTGAGCACTGGCTGCTCCCATCATTGTCCCAGCAGGGGGATTGAGCAGCCTCAGGCCAGGAAAACTCAGGGTGCCTATCACATCACCGTGAGCACCCCCTGTCCGTTCAGGTTAACAGACCCAGGAAGGTTCAGGGGAGTGGGGTGGGGGTCTCCAGCCTCGGTCCAGGCCCATTTCCACCAAGGCTCTGGCCTGACTGGATCCCCGTGTGTATTGCCCAGGAGCTATGGAGCGTGGGCCCAGGGGCACACGATCTGCCCAGCCCTGCAGCTCTGCCAAAGCTCATGTCTTCTTCTGTCTGTGGCCTGGCCTTCCCTGTCCAGGCTGAACGAGGAGCAGATCGCCACTGTGTGTGAGGCCGTGCTGCAGGCTCTGGCTTACCTGCATGCCCAGGGTGTCATCCACCGGGACATCAAAAGTGACTCCATCCTTCTGACCCTCGATGGCAGGGTAGGGCCCTCCCCAGCCTGGCGTGCCCCGCCCCCTGTGTCTGTGCTTGGAGCTTACTCAGCTCCTGCTTCTAGTTCACCACTCCCTGTCCTCCGCGCCCCACCCCATCTCAAATACAGGTGAAACTCTCGGACTTTGGCTTCTGTGCTCAGATCAGCAAAGATGTGCCGAAGAGGAAGTCCCTGGTAGGAACCCCCTACTGGATGGCTCCTGAGGTGATCTCCAGGTCTCTGTATGCGACTGAGGTGAGCAGTCCCTCCATACCCCCGTCCTCCCAGAAGTTCCAGTTGGGAACAAACAGTTCCTGTGGTCCCTGCAGAGACATCCCTCCCCCAGATAGCTCTGGTTTTCAGATTCCCACTTAGTCCATACCCTACCCCACTTCCCAATGCCCCCTACCAGCTCATGAATGGGTCTGCCCTCACTTGTGACTTTGCTGCCACAAACTGTTCCCTCCTGCAGCTCGTGGGCAAGGTGGGGTATGACCAAGCTTCCTCACATCTGATGGCCAGTCTTCGAGAATGGCTGACAGCTCTGTTCCTCTAGTCAGTGGGCACTCGTGCAGGAAGTAACTGGTCACAGGGCAGGTGGCCAGGAAGGAGGCCAGCTGCTCCCATCCCTGTGCAACACACTGCTACCCAGGAGCCCTACTCTGGCCGGCACCATCCAGGACATTCTCTTCCTACAGGTGGACATCTGGTCCCTGGGCATCATGGTGATTGAAATGGTGGACGGCGAGCCACCGTACTTCAGTGACTCCCCAGTGCAGGCCATGAAGAGGCTCCGGGACAGCCCCCCACCCAGGCTGAAAAACTCTCACAAGGTCAGTCAGTGCTCAGGGTGGACCCTGCTGACCCCATTCTTCCTGAGGCTGAGGGGACCAGAGCCTGGGTTCCTTGGCCCACCCTCTCCCTTCCACGGAAGCCAGAGGCTCCCAGAAAAGGCTCTGCCTTCTCCACACAAAGCCTGTGGCAAACTCCTGTGGCCCCTCGAACAAGTTTCCACCTGCAGTCAATTGACAGGAGGCTGAGAGAAGGGAAAGCAAGACTGCCAGGAATCCCTGATATCCTGGGGAGGAATTCTAGAGAAGCTAACTGAGCAGGAGCCCCTCCACTCCCTCTGTCAGGGGAGCCATCCCATGGCACAGTGTTCCCAGTCTCGTTCAGCAGATCGGTTTGTCCTCCACCAGTGCATATCCTGGCCACAACTGAGCCACAGGTTTTCCCTTAAAACCAGTGAACATGTGCGAGTGCACATTGCATTTAACCCTTTTCTGCCAAATCCACCCAAACCCCACAGGCCTTACCTGTGGACACCCCCTGCTGGTGGCCAGGTCAGCACAGGGCGGCAAAATGGCCCTGCCATCTGGTGGCCAGAGTGAGAAATGTCGCAGAGGGTTGAAAACCAGTCCCTAAATGATAAAATACTCCTGTGGCCCCTACACAGCTGGATGGGAGGACAGTCAGGAAACACCTTCCCAGACCACTGGTCCTTGGAGCCTGCACTGCCAGCCCCAGGACCAACACATACAGGAGATTTCCAGTTGGCTAATTCCCCAGAGGACGTAGCCTTCCGCAACAGCCCAAGACTTAGCCTCATCCCGAGATACTGGCTAAAAATGAACCAAGATAAGCCCTTGACTTAGACTCCAAGGCTTAGAGCACTAAAGAAATCTTCCTTGTTAGGTCTCACTTTGCTCTTTTCTATTTTTCAAGACACTTCATCCCTAGCCTCTTTTTTGATCTTCACTAAAGACAGGGCAAGCATATTTTATCACTAGCCCATTGGACAGATAAGAAAACTGACGTCTACAGAAAATCACAACTTGTTAAAGATCAGGGATGGACCCAGGACTGGATCACTAATACCAATGCCATGCCCCTTCCAGAAAGCCACAGAGCCTGAAGGTTGAGAGCCTCCAGCAGCCGGGTGGGGAGTGGGCTGTGTATTTGCAGCCAGGCTCCCCAGGAGCGGGGCATTTTCCTTCCTCTGCTCAGCAGCACCCCCTAGAGGTGAACTAGCCATTTTTCTGGACTGAGGCCAAGTTTCTTTACCTAACTGATAATCTGAAAACTGCTGAGCCTGGGAGCTGCCAGGAAGTAAGAAACAAGAGAATTTAAGACCTTCCAGTGATGGTGGGGATGGGCAGACGAGTCACCCCAAAGTGACTGTATGCGGCAGCTTGCTTTCAGTGCTGCCCTGTCTCCACAGGTCTCCCCAGTGCTTCGAGACTTCCTGGAACGGATGCTGGTGCGGGACCCCCAGGAGAGAGCCACGGCTCAGGAGCTCCTGGACCACCCTTTCCTGCTGCAGACGGGGCTGCCTGAGTGCCTGGTCCCCCTGATCCAGCTCTACCGCAAGCAGACCTCCACCTGCTGAGCCTACCTGCAGAGTGCACCTGCCACCAATACCCCCAGGCAGGGGACACTGGGCTGCCAGCCCACCAGCAGGGCCCGCCTGCCTCATTCTCTCAGTATTCTCTCCAAAGATTGAATGTGAAACCCCACCCACACCCTCCTGCCCTTCCGCCCACTGGGCCAGGCCGGACCTGCCCCTCGGTCTCTCTCTCTCCCAAGAGAGTCCCCAGTTGCCTTTGGGATGACGGAGACCCCTTCTACAGGATGACCCTTTGTCATTTGCACAGGGATATTTCTAAGAAACGTGGAGACCAGCACTCCTGGCCACTATGGCCAACCCAGCCGAAAAGGCTGCTGCAGTTTTTTAAAGATAGTTGTACACAAGCATCCTGGGCTACCCAAGAGGGCAGACTGCTGGTCTTCCCCAGGATAGCTGCTGTTCTCCGCTCCAACTCTAGACCCTGGGGTCTCGAGAGGGCCACGGGGAAGGTTTCTACTGCCTGAAGCTGTCTTCCTCCCTCGTGTCTGACATCCTGAAGGTACAGTCCAACCTGCACCTGCTTTCCAACTCACCTGCACTGACATCCACTCTCCCTGCACAGCCTGCCCCAAAGTGTGACCAGCCTGCTCACAGGCCAGGGAGGGAGGTGGAGCGTTGCTCTGGGTGAAAGAGAAAGAATGGAGTTGGTGGTAAACGTGGTCTCACGTTACAGGATGGAGAGAACATCACGTGCACGTGTGTGTGTGTGTGTGTGTGTGTGTGTGTAAGTGACAGATGGTCACTCCGACAGCTTGGCTCCCTTCAGGTCACCCACAGCCAGCTTCCGAAAAGTTTTTCCAATCTTTTTGCCACTAAGTTCTACTCCAAAGGGACCTGCTTTCCTGCCCTGGCTTCCCACCTCCCAAGTCCTTTGCTTCTACCTGACCAGCGGAGAGGTTTGCATTGAGTCTAATACATCCTAGGGGCTTGGCAGATTTCCAAGTTTCTCCTCTACACTGGAGTCTAAGAGCTGAGACAGGAATGGTGAGGGAACACACTTTGTTTCGGCTATGAGCTTCCTCTCAATAACCAGGTCATCAAGGACCTGTTCTTTTCAAAATCTTGGTCTGGGGGGAGGTGAACCACCTCCTGGGGCCCCATCCTGTCAAGAAAATGGGTACCCCCTTTGTGCAAACCATATGCCCTTGCTCCTTCCCTCCTCCTTCTTCCCTCCCCACCTTCAGGGATATTGTGAGTCAGGGAATCCAGGGAAGAACTCCAGGTGTCAGGACCCTATCTAGATAATATTTTTAGATTCCTCTGCTCCCCAATGGCCTGCTTTGGGGCCGGAAAAAAAAATTGCAAGGACTTTTTTAAAGGTCAGAGTTTTAAAAACAAAAGCATCTTCCCTAGAAACTTTTGTGAATTGTTTGCACTTGTGCCTGTTTTAAATTAAACTGAGTGTTCAAAAACCTCTGGGCTGTTGTCTCTGAGAATGGAGCCAGGCTGTCTTCAAGCTGGACACCTGCAGTGGGGGTCTAGTGGCCCCCTCCCCACCATGTAAGCTCCCCAGCAGCCACTCCAAGTCCACAGAAAACCCAACTCCCTGGTGGCCTGTGGGCATGTGAAGGCAGATAAGGAGGGAAACAGGAAGTAAAAGGCCTTCGGGGCTGAAAGAGCTGAGAAAGAGACAAAGCTCTCCTTCCAAGGGACCAGAACCCAGCCAGGAAGGCCCAGGGCCATGGGCTGTGCTTGCTGGTACCAGAGGGGTTCTGGGGGGCACCCACCAGGGCTATAACCACTTTCTGCCTCAGTGCCTCCCTTCTCCCTTTCGCTTCTCACTCTAGGGCAAGTCAGAGGCTGCTCTCCCCAGGCTGTCTCTAGGAAGTGGCCGGGAGCTGCTTCCAGAGAGAAAGCAGTCTCTGTTTCGGTTCTCAGAACTGAGGGGTTATTAAAGAGCAGTGCAGTGGCTGAAAATCAAGAGACCTTGGTGCTAGTCCTGCAGGTAGGGGAGGTGGCTGGAATTCTCTTTCAACTTCTAGCTCTGACTCTGGTTCCAGCACTGCCTTCCTGAGAGCTCATCCTGCCTCCCTCACCCCCCCTCCACTCCACTACCCTCCCCCCCAGCCCAGGGTTCAGGGAAACCTCTCAGGCAGCATCCTGGAGTCATGCCGACCTTTTCCTGCTCTCCGCAGCAGTCCCACCCAGACAGCTGCCCTGGTCGGAAGGTCCTAGTCCCACCAACTCAGTCCTGCCTCCAGGTTGCAGCCGCAGTGCCTAGTAGGACAGGCAGGGATGGAGGCTGATGGAAGATGGAAGCTTGTCAGGAAGCAAGCACACCCTTCTGCCGCCCCAAAGGGAGCCCCCAATCAGGAGCCGTTGGCAAGGCAAAGAGAGGCCAGTTCTTGCAACTGAATAATACTGGATTTATTAACTATTCTTCTGAGTTCTAATAGTCCTTCCACCATGCAGTGTCATTCCAAAAGCATATGTGTACGTCACTTAGCCTCCCACACAGACTAGTTCTGAGCTTAATGTTAGGGTACCGAGATCCAGTGGCCTGGGCAATTCTGCACAATGATGAAAGCAACAAGAGTTGGGAAAAGAAAACGATTTAGAAAAGTCTCTTCTAAAATGGAGTGAGCTCGAGAGGACACCAGCGTCAAAGCTCTGGGGCTGACAATGAGTAGGAAGAGCAGGAGAGCAAAATGCAGGGACACAGAGAACTTCTGCACGGAGCTGGGCCCAGTAAGAATCTGCAAGAACAGCAAGTCATTCAAACACAATTCAGTGCAGACAGGAAAGATCTACTGTGGTTTTTTTAAAGAACATTGCTTTCAACCACCAAGCCCTTGGCAATTCGGTGGAGAGGAGCCCTCATGGTTGTTTATTCAATAAGGAAGGAAGGCCCCAGGGTGACAATGAACCAGAAAGTCACAGGTCAGCGACATTTGAAAGATGAGAGCACCTCCTACCTAATGTTCAACCCAGACCTTATGGTGTTCTGAAGAAGCCAAATACTTGGATCCTTACACCATTAAAAAACTCCGTGAAGGTGGCACCTGGGTGGCTCAGTGGGTTAAAGCCTCTGCCTTGGGCTTGGGTCATGGTCCCAGGGTCCTGGGATCAAGCCCTGCATTGGGCTGTCTGCTCAGCAGGGAGCCTGCTTCCCCGTCTCTCTGTCTCTGCCTGCCTCTCTGCCTACTTGTGGTCTCTGTCTGTCAAATAGATAAATAAAATCTTAAAAAAAAAAAAAAAAACTCTGTGAAAATTAAACACAGGGAATAAGTGAGCAAGCCAGGATCAGGGGGAAAAAAAACAAACAAACGTAGTTTGTACTTGGGATGTCCAATTATCCCCCATCCCACCCCAGATCCTCTCCTTCTGGCTTTTCAAGTGCATCTGTATTGTTCCACCGCCCAGACAGTGGTACTGAGGAGAGGCAGTTGTGTGGGAAGAAACGAGTAGGGGGAGGGCAAAACACCCCAAAATGAAAGCAAATCTCATCAGAAGAAAACAATGCAGGTCCCAAGCTTCAGAAATTATAAACAAGGGGTTGGAGATTCCTATTGTTCAGAACAGAGCAGAAGCTCTTTGAACTTGGGAGCCTTAACTTGGAAGATCTTGGGGTCCTTAGTGAAGACAGGTCTGGGCTCCTGCTATTCCAAATCCGAGTTTTTGTGTTTACTGTCCCTCACTTCACTGCTGGGAAATGACTTCAAGTATCCGGATTTAACATACTACTAGAGGAAGAGGGTCAATGCACACAGAGAGAGAAGTACATTGCAACGATCCCTAGTAAAACCAGAAGTCCAAACTCCTAGCCCAGGTGCCGCGAGGAAAGCGCAGCGCTGCCACCAGGGGGCACCAGAGATCACGTCCAGCGCAGGGCGCGGGGAGAGGGCGCGGCCTTGCAGACCTTAGGGAAGTGGAATGATTGGGGAGCAGTCGGACACCTACACCAGGCCCGCTCACCTCCGGGACCAGTTTCTCAGCACAGATCACTCTCGCTCCGGGCAGTTTCCTTAGAGTTCATGTGAGAAACCTTCCGTTCTGCAAAGGCGTATAGATCGACGTCTTGAAAGGACCCCACTTCAGACGGGTGAGGCGCTGCACGTTCAACCTTCCGGGTTCACAAAGAGAGCCCCCAAGCGCCAACGATCCCGCGGGCTGGACGCACAGATACCTGTGCTAGCGCTTCCGCAAGATCCTGGGGGCACGCATTCTCCAGACCCGCTAAAACTCTCCCCACCCCCGCCAGCCTCTCAGGCCTGCACAAAGGGGAAGGCAGGGAGGGAGGGGAGGAGGAAGGACCACGCCGGAAAGGGCATTTAACCACCTCTCCACGGTTGCCTCTGACTCACTAATCTGCCCAGTAATGAAGCTGGGCCGGGCTGGCGTCCCACGCGCCTCGGCAGAGGCAGGGGTCCTTGTCTCGACCTCCAGCATCCATCATCCGCCCTGCCCTCCATTAACGGCCCAGCGAGAAGCAGGAGCCCTTTAACAGCCCCCTTCCAGCTTTCTCAGGAGTTTGATGTAATTTAAACCCGGACCTGCGGCTCGTGTGGGCTTCCCGACTCCCGCGCGCCGCCGTTTAACGTGGCAAACACTTCAGTCAATTATCCCCCTCGCAGAGCTTCTATTTAAAGAGATATTGTCAGGTTCTTAAGCCTCGGATCAGACCCGCTGCTTTGGGCTTCATATACAAAGACTCAAAACACGAGTTCTTTGAGGATTGGAAGAAATACAATTAAGCCAAGCCTTCGCAACCATTCCACCCTAGGGGGGAACCCACGTGCACCGCCAGGGGAGCTGGGAAGTGGTGGGAGCGGGGAAGGGCCAAGTCCTTTCCATTTCAGGTTCTAAGAGTGAGAGGAAATAAGGCTGGACCCTGAGGGGTGAGACCTCAAAGGTACAACTCAGATGCTGCCCAGCTGAAGCTGGGCTCAGTGCTGGGAGCTGGGCTCGCCAGGCGTTGCTGTAGTCCAATGACCCCACATCGTGAAGGTGAAAACTGGGTCTGCGGGTGGGAACTGAAATTACCCAGAAGCTATTTCAGGGGACAATTAGCCTTCAATACCAGGGCCTCTCCCACCCCTAAATATGATCTCATCTTCTGGAGGCAGGAGCTTTTCCCCCAGAAAACCTTAACCTCCAGATTCCTTCATCATCAGCCCTCCTGTCCAGAAGGGCTCAAAGGCTGGTCTTCTTGCTTTCTGTCTCCAACACCTAGGGAGGGAGACTTCAGTAGCCTGTGGCATTACGGGGCACATCACTAGGCAAAGGGGGGGAGGCTAGGTCTTTGTTCTACAAGTCAAGCTCTTCTGCTGCCTGGCTGCCAGGGTGTGGGAAAGGGGTAAGGAGGAGGTGACCCAGCAGGAGTCGGCAAGGCTCAGAACCATGCCTTAGGGCTCAGGGTAGGGGGTCCATCTTCCTGGCTGAAAGGCTATCTAGCCTCCAGAATCCATCTTCTATTCCTCCCCTCTAGGACAGGAAAGGTACACTGTAGGGAAGGTGAGAGACCTAGGCAGGGAATACCGACGAGCACAAATAAATAAATAAATAAATAAATAAAATAGGGCTTCTTTTCAGAGAGAGGATTAGGGAGTCTGGTCTGGGCAGTGGGGACAGATTATGGGATCACAGGCCAGGGAAACTGCCAGGAAAGTGAAGGACCTGGAAAAAAGAAATCCCAGCAGAGGAGAGACATAAGAGGAGGGGGAGCAGGGCTCAACCTCGACGCTGTTTACCGCTGAGCGTGCAGCACCACGGCCTCCGTGCCCCCCTGCCAAGGCTGAGGCCCAGGCACCGAGTGGGGCAGAGCGTTGGCCTCTAACTCCGCGCCGCTTTCGGGCCCTGAGGCCTCCCCGACCAGGCTGGGGATGTCTGGAGCTGTGGAGCGTCGGCGCAAACCCAAACGGCCAGAGCCGGGGCCGCCCTCCGGGTGGGGGCTCAGGCCAATGGGGGCTTGCACTAAGGTCGGAGGCGCTCCCTCCAGCACCTCCTGCGAACGCCACCGCCCGGTCCCTGAAGACTGAGGCGAGTGTGGTCGGGCCATCAGTGCTCCCGCCCGCAGCCGAGCCGCTTCCTCCTCGGTTACAGCACCCAGCGCCAGGCTCATGCTCCGGCCCAGCTCGGGCCTCTCGCTGCCCTGTGCGCGGTGCCGGCCGGAGCCCTTGCCCCCTGACCCAGCCTCGCCGCCATGACCGTGGCCGCCGGCAGCTCGCGCAAAGCGCGCCAAGAGAGGCCGAGGTAAGCGGCGGGGGCTGGGTCGTCGGCGCTCCGGGCTGGGCGCGGGAGTCGGACGGCCGGGGGGGCTGTCGGAGTTGGAGCCCCGGGCCGCGGCGGCGGCAGCTGCGCGGCCCCAGGGCCCGGTGAGGGCTTGCACGCAGGTCCCGTGGCCGCGAGCGGCTGCCAGCTGCAGCGCCGTGAGACCCGCTCGGTTGGTGCGGTCGAGGCGCAGGCCGAGGCGGCGGAAAGAGCGCACCAGGAACTCGAGCACCGCCCCGTGGCCGCACGCCGCCGCCCACATCACTGGGCTGTTGCCCGCCGAGTCGGCCGCTTCGGGGTCGCCGCTGAACTGCACCAACAGCTGCACCGCGTCCAGGTGGCCGCGCTCGCACGCCAGGCTGAGCGCTGTGCGGCCGCGCTCGTCCCGCAGGTTCACGGCCGCACCCTGCTCCAGCAGTAGCCGCACGAAGCGGGAGCGCAGCGCGGGGTCCGGCAGCCCCACCGCCACCATGAGCGGCGTGCGGCCCTGCTCCGCGCGGCAGTCGATGATGCTGCGGTCCAGCGCATCCAGTACAAAGCGGGCCAGGTGCACTTTGCCCGCCTGCATGGCCTCCAGGAAGGTGCGCGTACCCGCTCGGGGGCACAGGTCCTTGGGCTTGAGCATGGCCCCTGCCGCCGCTCCTAGGCGGCCGGCAGCTCCGCACGGGGGCGCCCCTGTTCCCGCGCCCCGCTGGGCTCTGGGCCCCACTGGTGCTCTGGTGTGGCTCCCTCAGCGCGTGGGCGGCTGCAGCCGAGGGTCCTGACGTTTCCACTCTTGTGCCCCAGTGGATCCCTTTTCCCTGCCGCTCCTGGGCCGCACGCCTGGCGTCTCGCAGCTCCTTCCCTGGGCTTCCCGCCTGGAGGTGTAGGTTGCTTGCTACTCTGGGCTCCGCGCCTGGCCCGCCACGAGACTACGGGAGCCAAAGCTCGGCCCCCTTCTGTCTGTCCCGCTGCTTTCCGCTTGTCCGGTGCCCCTCCGCCCCTTGTGGCTTAGAGCCGCGCCACTCACCCTCACCCGGGACAGCCCCCGCTCCCCCGATGAGACGGTGGCGCCCGCCGTGCGCGCCTGCATCCAGCCCTGGCGGGGCGCGCCGCTCCTCAAGCTGCTGGCGCCGCTCCTCCGCCTCCTCCCCGCTCGCGGGGGCCGGGCCACACCGGGGCGCTTGCTCCTTACTTGGGGGGCTCAGCGGCGCGGAAGTCGCCGCCTGCCTGCTTATCTGGCTTTATAGCCTCGGGGGTCTCCATAGCAATGGCTGCCCTGGAAGCGGGCTGGGCCGTCAGGGCAGGAGCGCACCCGGCGGGAGAGACCGCCCCTGACCCCCACCCTTTCGTGGGCCACGAAGTCGGGGAGCGGCTCCTCCTCCGCGCTCCCCTGGGGCTGCCGCGGCGGTTGCGGGGCGCGGGCGGCGGCTGCTAGCTGGGGGGCCACATGCACCAGGCCAGGCCAATCCCAAAGTCACAGCCGTCTCTTCTCGTCTCCCCGCCCTCCGCCCCTACCGGAGTCGGTGCCCTCGGAGCCTTACAAACTTAGGACCTCGCGCCCGTCGAGGAAGGCGGAGGACTGCCTCCCAGCGGTCCAAGTGGAAGGAAATGGGACCCCATTAGGGCAGAACTGACCATAATGGAGCTGGGTGGCGGCGGCAAAAGGCGAACCGCGAGTAATTGGCGGGGGTGTGGGGGTACCTGCGCTGCGCGCGGGGTGAGGGGCGCTTATTCTGGCTGAGAACTGCCACTCGAAGTGTAGCGAATCACGCACTCGCACACAATTGTTCCTCCCGCACACGCTCGCTCGGAGCGGGGGTGGCGGGGAGACTGCGCCCTCCAATCTCCGACGTCTCCAACCCCGACCACGCGCCCGAGCGCCGGTTCCCGGCGGTTGACAGGCGGGCGGAGCCGAGACGCGGCGGCCAGGACGGGCGCCTGGGGATTCGAGAGTGCTGCTGCCGCGTTCACAACTCCCCCGCGCCGCCTCCCCGCCGCTTCGGGGCCGGCCGCCACCCCGGAAAAATGTGAGAGACCTACGCAAGGCTTCCCTACGGTCCTCGCCTCCCTCCCAAGCACAAAACCACCCCCAGCCCACCGGGCTCTGATTTTGACTACTAGCTGACCCCTTTCGAAGGGAAGGAGAGAGCCAGCGTCACTGGGGGGTGGAAAAACTACCGCATCCCCTCTCGCTCCTGAGGTGGGGGGCGGTGGTGCTCAGGCCTGTGTTGAGGGGAGTCAGGGCTCCTCAGAGGGGGATGGTAGGGGGGGTGGAGGTGTATAGGGGTAGAATGAATTATTTGTGAAGTCTAAAGAAGTGAATCAGTTATCAACTCATAACAGAATTTACTGAGACTTTTCCCGAGCTGGGCATTGTGTTCCCCAGCTGTAGGACATACAGAAGCAGAAGCTCAGTTCTAGATAGAAGAGACCATCCCTCTCAAGCAGGAAGACAAGACCAGCATAAAAATGTAGAGGCTATCAGCAGAGGGCTGGCTACACCTGTTATATCCAAACAAAACCAAGCCTCTGCTTAGAGGAAAAGGTAGAGCTGGGTGTGAGGGGCTCTGGGGCAATCTGGAGGTGGTCTTCAAGGATGTGGGGGGATCTGGCTTCCAGGAAATAAGGAAGACATTCCTGAGGGTTCCTGAAGCAAAGACATGGAAGCAAGAAAAACACCTCTAGGGGACAGTACTGAGGTCTGCTTTACCAAGTACCTTCCTATGGAAGATATAAAATGAGGGGAATGATAAAGCTGTCGTGATGCTGGGCGGAGCCATGATAAGATGCTGTCTGGGAAAAGGTTCTGGGAAAGGAGAGGATTCACCTTTGGGAAGGAGACAGTGGGCCCAGATAGGTGAATGGCGAAGAGCACACAGGGCCCTGCGCTGCAGGCTTCTTGCCTTTCTCTAGCTCCTAGGCTTCAGGGAAGCCCACCTAGCATCCTGGGCCCAGCCATGGAGCAGGGTCTCCTACTTCCCTCTATTGGGGGGGGGGGGACAGTGCATGTGATGTATGCCTGTATATACTGTCAAGCACCTACCCCCTTTATCATTTTTGCATTCTCTAATCCCCCTGCTCTGCCAATTTTCTCTCATGGTGCCACGGAAAGGGCACGGCATTTGACCTCAGAATTAAGTCCCAACTTGAAGGCCTTCGTCTCAGCAAAACGAAGCCCAGAGTACTAGCTCTGCCTGCTTTAGGCAAGATGAAGCTAGAGAGTGTCAGGGAAAGAGCTGTACGGTTAGGTTATTCAGAGTGTAGAAAGCCACATCTCACCCCCAGATGTGGGGGCCTCACCTGGAGTGTCACCCTGGGGGGGCACAGACTATCCAACCCCAGGAGGGTTTCAGGAAAGCTCTCCTTCTACTCAGATAGCAGAAGAAAGGCTTTCCTTCCCTTCATGAATCAATTTTTTCTGCAGCATGAGGGAAATTGCTATCTTCCTTTCCTTCTGTTTCCAGAGTCAGAGAAGGAGGTAACCCTGGAATCTGTGTGTGGCAGGCCAGCCTGACAAACTGGAGGTGACCCAGTGCAGGGAGAGGAGAAAAGCAGTGGGAAGATGGCATGGGTGCCTGCTTGGTCCTAAAGAACCAGGGCCCCTCCTCTGTGAGCTTCTCTGAGACAACTCTGCCTCATTTGTGTCCCTCCTGCTGGGGTGGATGGAGACAGTTGCAGGGAAGCTGAGGAGTGGAAGCAGGTCCCTGTTAGGGCCTCGCCCTGGCCTGGCCCAGAGCGCCCTGCTGGCCACTGTTCCGGAAGGAGCAGCCAGTGCATCTGCTCCAACTGGTACCCCCAGCTGGGCCAGGCCTGTGGTGGGATGGGATGGTGACAGGTCTCAGGCCCCAGAGCCTTTGCTCTGACTTTTCCGTAGGCTCAGTACGTTCTGAACAGAAAAGAAATAGCAAAACTGAAAGGGGGGGAAAAAAACCGCTGTGCGTGTGCTGCAGAGCACTGAGGCCCCGACAGCCGGAATTAGAAGCTGTCGCTTAGGGAGCCGGGAGCCGAAGGCTGACAGGAGAAGGAGCTGCGGCAGGGAGCAGGCAGGCGCACAATCGGCACTCCCCCCTCACTTCCCCTCCACCTGCCGAGCCTCACCCTTTGCAGGCCCCAGGCCGGCAAAAGGGCTTCTTCCCAGAGGCGCACTAAGCTAGGCTCCTAGGTTCCTGTCTGCAGTCTGTCACTCCGTCTGCCGCTGCCCCCCCCCTCCCAGACCCCCTTCTTTCCTCCTCAAGTATCACCAGCCCCCTCAACCTGTCACGTTGCACCAGCTCAGCAGGGTTGGGCCTGGTGGCACATGGCTGGGAGATCCAGAGAGCTGGGGAGGAGTGGGGGGTGCAGGGGATGGGGTGAGTCAGCAGGGGACTCTGGTATCTGAGTCAGCAATGGGACTGAGAAGGGGGTAGGAACCCTTCCCTTAATGTAAAAAGTGAAACTGACGCACAATGAGTGGACAGGGAACCTTGCCCCTGCCCCAAGGGTACACAACAGGAATTCACCTACCCCGGGCCCTGAGGGAGGGCATTAACTCCTCCCCAGCACTTCCCCTGCAGCCAGAGATGAAGTCATCTCCAGGGCCCAAAGACTCCAGCATTTTCCCAGGGGGCACCCCGCCCTTTTTCCAGAGTACAGGAAGCAGAGAGGTGGGTATCTGGGCCTCCTAGGAAGCTCCCAGCCTCTTGTGCTCTCCTAGCCCATTCCTGGGCTTCCCAGCTCCACCCTGGGGGCCCAAAGACTGCCTGGTCTGGTCTCCTTGCCCTCAGCAGTCATTGGCAGAAGCTGGGGACTCTCCAGTGGGCTCTCTTCGGTGTTGGCTCTGGCTTATGCCCACGTGCTTGGGTCAGTGAATTCCTCTAGCTTGGATCATCATTCCTGTAAGGCTCTACCCCTGGGCTGGCAGGGAGATGGGGCAACTGAGTGCCCAGCAGGAGAGCTAAAGACAGGGCACTGCTCTGCGGTTCAAGCATCCCACCCTTGGCTATAGCCAGTACGTGTGCAAACCAGATGTGTCAATGACGGGCCTTACTACTGTGAATGGGCAGGGCCCCTAGTCCCAACCTGTAACCAGGGAACGCTAGGATCCCAGAGGTCAGGGCCCCAGAGGGATGGAGGGTAGTGGTGGTGGTTCCGTTTATTTTCCGAAGGCACAGGGCTCAGAGCTAATGGCATTTGTAATAACTCTCTAATGAGAAAACAACCTCTTCCCAGAATCAATCCCTACCTGCCTTCTCCCAAGCCAGTGCCTGTTTCCATTTGGGATCTGGGATTACGCCACAGGTGCAGTGAACAGCTGCCCACAAACCCCTTTCGAGCAAGTGTTGGATTCAACCATAACTGCCTGGTGTAGAATCTGACCGTTGTTACGCCTGCCTAAAGGGGCCCAGGTGGCCTGGAGGTTCACAACACCATTGCCCTAGGCTCTTCTGCTACAGCCCTGAGGGTAGAGACAAGGAAGGGCCACGTCTGGGTGGGCGGTGAAGAAGAGGGGTGACCTCATTTTCCAGTGGTTGTGGCATCAGAGCTGACAGAAAGGGAAGTGAATCCCCTTCAGGCCCAGAAGCAGGACCATTTCACTGGGCTCTGGAAGGGACCTCACCCTGGGATTCAGCTCCCCAAGGGTTTTTCTCCCAGGCCATTTCATTTCAGGAGCATACTCCCATCCTACCCCCCATTTCTCAGCTGTAAAACAAAGGCCAGGCTTAGGCAGGAAATATTGGGACGAGGGTTCTCTTTAGTAGGAGTGAGGAGGAGAAAAATAAATAAATCTCATAGGAGAGAAAAATGATTCTAACCTTATTAGGCAGCCTGAGCAGGGGTATATACTGAGGATGTACCCACCCCCCACCAGGCCTAGGAGAGTCCCCCAAAGGCCTTCCTTAGACCTCCCTACTAGCCAGAGGCCCAGTCATCTCAGCAGACAGCTGAGGCAGCTTTTCCATGTCAGCCTCCCATCCCCCACAGGCAGGAGGCCAGGGAAGGGACCTCAGCCCAGGATACTGGAAGCAGCTGTCCCCAGGGAGCTTGGACAGGCTCTGTATCAGGGAACTGACAAGGTGGCCGACTTAGGACAGGTCTGAGAAGGGGCTTACAGCAGAAGGGTTTGGAGTTTGGTCCTGCTTGACCTAGAGGGGCTAGAATGGAGGCTCCAGACAGCTAGGCCTAACCCTCCAGGAAAGGACACAGAGTCCAGAGTGGGGCGCCACTGGTAACACACTAGGGAAAGGAGAGTGGGGCCAGGACCCCATTTCCTGCCTCTCAGTCCATATCCTTTTGCCCTCAACAAATGTGAGACACTTACTCAGAGGCAGAGAAGAAGAATGAGGAGTAGGAAGTCAGATCGGAAAGGACCTTGAAACCTCAGATGGGCCCCTGCCCTGATGGTACCTGTTTCTTGCCTCCTCCTCTAGCCTGGTTGTTGAGGAAGGGACTCCAGAGTCCAAAAGAGCCCCAGCTTCCCACAGCCTTAGAATGGGCCTTTCCTCCTGGGGGAATGGAACCCCATCCGAGAGAAGAGTGAATGTCCTTACAGAATGTCCCTGTGGGATAGGGGCATCAGAGGTGGCTCTCCTCGGCGCCTGCCTTTGCTGTGAGTGGGTCCTGGTCACACAGCTCCCTGAAGGCCTCATAAGGCCTCTCAGGCTTGTCCTTGGCCTCAGAGGGTAAGCAGTTCCTGAGGCAGGCCTTCACTGACTCCTTCACCTCAGCCTCCAGGCCCTTCATCCGGACTTCGTACTCTGCCAGCACCTCCTGCTGGAACTGTAGGGACAGCAAAGACCACCGCCTGGCTCAGGAGGGGCCCACCTGCCCACTCTCCCTCCCCTGGATAGTCAAACAAGGAGATGTCCAGTCTGTTCAGATCTCCCAGGAGACTGGGGTGGTGAGGGGTAGTGGAGACCATCAGGGAGCCTGCCAGAGAAGGGGATCCCAACCAAGCAAAGAGATCTGTAGAGCTGCCTCATCTTGAAGGGCCCCAGGACCCCGCAGGAATGAGGACCTGCAGCCCACCAGCGAGGGGTGAATCCCCTTCCTGCCCCCACCCATCTCCTGACTGGCAGCTCCCCAGTGCAGGCCAACTCTCCTGGCGGGCAGGGCGGTAGTCCCTGTCACACCTGCTTTTCCATCTCCCGGATCTGTTCCAGGCAGGCTGCCTGCTTCTCCTCCAGCTTCTCCTGGTGCTTCTCCAGGTTCTCTGTCATCTGGGTGGGAGTGAGAGGCAGGGAATCAGGACAGCCCAGACAGACAACCTGACTCGGAATCCAGCTACAGTCCCTTATCCGGCAACAAGACTTGGGACGAATTTGTTAACCTTTGAACAGTTCTTTTTAAATGTATAAAATGAAGATAATAGTCTGTCTTGCTGGGTTGTGCAGGACTGTATGAGACAGTTCCTGGCTTAAAGCGTACCACACAAGGTCTGGATTCAGTAAACAGACCCCATAGAGCCCCCCTCCCAAGCACCCCAGCTCAGCCAGCTCTGTTACTGTTGTTAATAGTCCCAGGAGAGCTTTAAGTCTATTCTCAGCAGGGCTTTACTTCCTCTTCTGACTCCTTGGAGCCTCAGGAAGTCCCCCTCATTCCCTCATACCCACCCACCCCAATCCCATCCTCCCCTGGCCAGCTAGCCCCAGTCATTTCCATCCAGGGCAGCTGGCCAGAGACAGATCTCTTTAGGCTGGTACCCTAACCTCCACACAAAGGCCAGAACTCTGGGGTAGCCCAGGAGCTCCATCTTCCCTTCACTGCCTCCTCCCATCCCCCACTGCATGGGCCACTCAGGACTGTGTGCCTCCTGAAGACAACTTAAAAGCCTGGGACCACTGCATCCCTTCTATGTAGAGTGTGAGTGTCTGTGTATGTGTGTGTGTGAAAGACACAGCTCTTACACACCTGCTTAATGACTTGCACCACCTCCTGGATGTGAGAGTTGTTAATCTCTCTCTTCAGTCTGTGGGGGTGATCAGAGTTTCAGAGAGGGCAAGAGGCCCCTAGGAAGAGCTGGGTATGACCAAGTCTCTTCAGGGTGTAGACCAAATGAGAACTCTACCATAGGAGCAGATACCGCCTGAGGGTGGGTGGGAGGGGGGCCGGACGGTGGTGGTAATCATGGGAAGCCAAGGAGGAGGTTAAGGGGCCTTTGGGAGCTCCAGGGGCTGTCTGAGGAGAGGGCTTCCTCACTAAACACACTGTCCTTCACGGCATACAGGGCAGGCAGCTGCTGTCCCAAAGTTTCACCACCCTGTTTGTATGATTAGTTTTCCCTGAAATTCTCTCTGCTCAGAGTGATGGCTTCTGTGGCCCATGGAGAACGCTCTGATCAGAGGCGACAGAAATGGGGTGACCTTCCAGAGCCAGGGGACAGGCACATCTCTGGGAAGCGAGTCAGGATCCACTTGCAGGGAGGCCCCCTTCCCACCTAATGTGGTCTCTGCTCAGACTGACCCTGGAGTTGGAGTCAAGGGCGCACCTTTCCTGAGCCATCTTGTCAGGGGTGACTTTGATCATGGCCTGAATCCGCTCCAGCCTCTTGGCCTCCAGCTTTTTTTTCATCTCTTTGGTGTCACTACAGAGAGACAAACATCAGGGAGATGTTCTGTGGAACCTGAGCCCTCCCGGTGGGAGGTGAGGGTCAGGCATGGGTGGGAGGCAATCATACGTCTCCAAGGTCTCCTTGAGGGTCTTCAGCTCTGCCGCCTGCTTCTCTCTGGCCAGCTCCATCATCTTGGCGATTTGCTGCGGGGCAGTGCAGGGATCAGCTTAGTTAGAGAAGCCCTTTGCTGTGCGGAGCCTGGGGCAGGGGGCAGGTTGGTTGGGTTGTGGCTGCCCCCCCCGCCCCCGCCCCCGTCCCCGCCCCCGCCCCCGCCCCCGTCCCCGCCCCCGCCCCCGTGCAGGCACCTCAGCCACGTGCTGCGCTTTGCGCTTCAGGATGCACTCGTACCGCTCCTCACCCTGCTGCAGCAGCTCCAGCTCCAGCCGGTCCTGCAGCTCGCGTGCACGCGCGTCCGCGCCCTCGGGGCCCTCGCGGCCCTCGCCCGGCGCGGCCCCGGCGGCCTCCTCGCACTGCAGGGTCCTGCGGACGCCACGTGGGGACCAGCCTTGAGCCCTCGGCCGCCCCCCGCCCGCCGGCGCCACGGAGGGCTGAGCCCGCCGCCGCCGCCGCCCTTACCTCTTCTTGCGAGAGCCCTTGCCGGGGCCGAGCCGGCGGCCCCCGCACCCCCCCGCGCCCGGCGGCCCCAGCCCGGCCAGCTCCGCTGCGCCCCTCTGCAGCAGCTCCTCCCAGCGCCGCGCGCCGCGCCGCTCCAGGTCCCGCAGCTCCTTCTCGTGCCGCCGCTGCAGCTTCACGACGCCCTTCAGCTCCCGCAGCTCCTCCGGGCTGGCGGTCTGGGGCTCTGCGGGGGCCGGGGTGAGGTGCGCACCGCCCGGGAGCCCCCCATTCCCACCCCACGGGGTTCTGGACCATCCCCCAGGCTCGTTCTCAAGATCACTCGGACTCAGCAGGCCTTACCCGTAGCTTCTTTCATAGCCTCCTCCTTGGCCCTGGCCCCAGCTGCTGCAAGAGCCACAGGGTGGGCTGACAGGGGTCCCAGGGTGGGGATGGGGGGTTGGTTCTGGCCTGCTCCTCCCCGACCCCTGGTGGGGGGGGGGTGGCAGTATGGGCACCCTGCAGCGCATTTTCCCAGCAGTCGTTTGCATCCCAAGTGAAAGTGTGTTTTGGGGGGATGTTCCTGTGGGTACCGCTGGAGAGGTCGAGGCCCTTCCAGTCTGCGGGAGGATACTACGGTGCATACCTGCAGACCCATTGCTCGTTGGGGCCAACGCCCCGTTGACTGGGCGGACAACTGGACTCCCAAGTGGGAAGGGTTTCTGTGTAGGGAGAGTAGATTAAGAACAAGGCTCCAGCAGCTCTCTCTGTCTCTCAGCCTAGGACCCTGGCCCCTCCCTCATTCTCCCTCTGAGAGGGCAAAGCTCCTGGACCAAGCAGCACAGACCTCAGGCAGACCTTCCATGGCTTCCTTGAGCTTCACAGACTTCTTGTCATGGGCACTGAAGAACTTGATGGGATTGGCCAGAGCCACGGTGAGATCTTGGGTGCATAGGGGCATCATGGGACTGGTGTGGAGTTGTCCCTGGAAGGCACCCCCATCTCACCTACCCCCAGGCTATCCTGTCATGCCCAACTCTGGAGGTTGGCTTGAGGAGGAGGAGGTGGAGTGGACCACCTACCTGCCCAGGTGTCAGGTACATAGTCCTTCAACTCCAGGAAGACAAAAAGGGCGGGCATGGTAAGGGGCAAGTTGCTTTCGCTATGCAGGCACAGATGGTGGTAGCCTGTTGGGCAGGACGGGATGGGTGGTAAGCCATGCCCAAGGCCACCCAGCACTGCCCGAGCAGCCCAGTACTCAAGGCCTCTGGTTTAGAGGCAGGGAGACCAGAGTCTGAGTCTGGTTTTGTACCTTCCTCCTTATGTGACGTTGGGCAGTTTCCCTTAAAGCTCTTGAGATTTTCCTTAGCTGTGAAATGGGGTGAATAGGATCTTCCTCATGTGGTTATGGTTAGGATTAAGTGAGAAAGTGTTATAAACCCATAACTCATCTTAGGTGCCCCGTAAGTATCAGTTCCTTGGTAAATTGCCCAGGTAGTTCCAGAAAATTATAGGCATTCTGTGGCAGAGGCCCCACTGCTGTCAGTTTCCTCTTCTTGCCCCAGTCCTCATACGTGAGAGGATTAGGTAAGGTCTCAGGGACACCCCCAGAAGCTGCTGCAGCCCCGGGACAGGCTCCTAATGCTGGCCTTGGTCTCAGACTGACTAGCAACAGCAAAGAAGGACTCCATCCTTACCAGAATTCAGGGCATTAATGGGGATGATGCGGTGTCCAAGAAATTTGTTGCCTTCCTCCAGTACAGCCACCCTGAGGGATGCCAGCTCAGGCATCAAGATCTAGGGAGAGTTTGGGACAGGACAAGCTGGGGAGGGGAGAGGATGGCCAAGCTGCCCACATCCCTGGCTTCAGAAGTCTTAGTGTCAGTGTGAGAACATGGCAGGTGTTACCAGATTTGGTGAGGACAGAGGGCACACTCTTAGGCCACACACATAGGCATCCTCTTAGCTCATGCCATGGCTGGTCCACACAGGGGAGAAGGGCTGGCTAGGCAGCTCAGGGCTTGGGGGTCCTGGTGCAGACAGTCCTGAACAGCCTTGCCAATGAGTATCGAATCAGGACAAAAGACCCCTGCTGGACTGGGACTCTGTACCCTGGACTGGGAGTTCACATTTCTGCCTCTCATCCTAACATGAACACACACGTGTGTAAACACACGTGCACCTGCGCGTGCACATACACACACAGATTCACACATAAAATTGTTCAGCAAGTAAATTTCAGTAAATGTGAATTTTGGACTCTTAAAAATCAGGAGGGCACAGGGCGAGGGGTAGGGAGAGCAGAACGATCAAGGACCTTTATTTAGTTCCTCTTTTCTATGAGTAGAGGCCAAGAAGTGGGGACAGATCCCAGCCCCTGCCACGCCCTAGCTCCCCACCTTCTCAAAGACAAAAGGCTCCTCCTTCCAGACAGGATTGATGGAGTTGGCACTGGGTGACAGCTTGGTGCGATAGCGCCTCTTGGGGTCCCCGGGAAGGCCAAAGAGTTCCACTTCCACATATGTGCGCACACTGCGATCCGACAGGAACTGTCCAGAGATGACCTGGGGACCCACGGGAGGCCAGCCTCAGCTCTCTACCACCCCCCACCCAGAGCTCTTGCCTCTAACCTAGAGCCTCTAGCTCCTGGAGCTGAAGCACCTGTTCTTGGCTACTGTGAAGAACCCCATCCAGCTGGGGCCATGTGGCTCAAGGACTTTGGCTAAGCTCTGGGCCACTAGGTGCTTCCAGCATTCAGGGAAGAGGCATGGGCCTCCCCACCTTCCTCCCCAGGCAAGGAAGGAAAACAGCACCCTCCCTCCTCGAGGGCCTGGGGCTCCTGCAGCCCCACTCTGCCCACTCTTCTCCCCTCCCCCACCCCAGCCTCAGCCCTTCCCCTTGGTTTCCATGGGGACCAAGAGGCAGCCTCCAGTGCTGAGGAGGAGGCAGTTTCCAAGGCAACTCTCTACTGTGAGAACTGGCTTGGGCTGAAGTTTTCAGGATATCAGAGGAGGGGGTTGGGAGTGGAGGAGTAGAGCTCCTGTGTCCCAGCCCTCCCAGCCACATGTCTGTCTCAGGGGCTTGCCGTGATGGAAAGGGTGGTGGCCACCACCACGTCGATGCGGTCCACTGAGAAGGGGTTGAACTGCTTGTCCGGCCGCCGCATGAACTCATGCTTGAGGAGGTAGCCACTCTGCCCGTTGAACTCAAACAACGCCATGTTCTGCTGCATGGGCAGGTCTGGGGAGGGGGGGCGGGAGACAAGGGCACTCTGTGAGCAAGGCCCAGCCCCAGGTCTACACCTAGTCTCAATCTCCTATGTCCCTCAGCCTCTCCCGTCTTGTGGAGCGGGAAGCTTGGGTGGACTAGAATGATGAGGGCTTTTCATGACCCAGCCTGCTTCTCTAGGGTGTCTCATCTCTCAGGAAGGCTCCACAGGTGGAAGTTAGCGGAAGCAAGGCCACAGTCGGGCCGTTACTCACAGTGGAGGCTGAGGCCAGTGAAGCCAGGGTTTCTGTGGGCTCATTCAGGCACAGCAGCCAGAACTTGGGCCAGCACTCTGGCCTCATCACATGTGTACACACTCATACACGTGCCATCATATAGGCACGAGCCAAGGCATTTATATCCCTAACCGCTCACATGCCCGCATGTGCTACCACAGCCTCAGCCAACCTCAGGACTCCAGGTCTGTTCTAAAGACAACCCCCCAGGAATGGGGTGAAAGTAAGAGAGGCAGAGAGCGGGTGCAGGTTCTTAGGGGCCTCAGTGTACCCTCACCCATTGTCTGGAAGTTGAGGGCCACCATCTGGCAACCGGCGTTCCAGAACATCTGGGGCATATAGTTGGAGGAGTCCATGCGTGTGCCCTTCGGGTAAATGCGGCTCATCTGGCGCTTGTTGTAGCTACCTGGGAGTTGAGGAGCTAGCCCAAGGCCGTCCACACCCGAAGGACCCAGCAGCTCCCTCTGTGTACCCTGTCCCCAGGCCTTCCCCACCCCACCGCCCCACCTGGGGACCCTGGCTAGAGAGGCCTCAAGGATACTCCACGAACTGCACTGAGGCCTTGGAGAGCAGGTCATAGGCCTTGAGCTCTGTGAAGGACGAGATGACATAGCTTCTGTTTTTCTCTGTGTGGGAGAGAAAGGGGGGGGGCTGTCAGGTGGGATCCCCCCCACCCCCGCCCTCCTCCCTGCCCTCCCTTCTGGGGTAGCTCCCTCCAGCACAGACATCCCTTCAACCTAGCAATCCCCCCAGGCTCAAGTGTTGAAGAGGCCAAACTGCTATGCAGTCTGGGTGGGTAATGGCGCGCTGGGGGTGAAGGATATGGGCGGGAGACATGCACGCGGAGGGGGTGTGGGCCACAGTCTGGAGGGTGAGGGGCGCAAGCCTGGGATGGCACAGAGAAGGGGAGCCCAGGGGGTCAGGAAGCTGGGAGGATGTGCAGAGGGTGAGCGCGCAAGCTTTGGCTGAAACGTGAGGGTTGGAGGCATGGGTGGGAGGTGTACACCGGGTGGGGGGGGGCAGGCATGCCCGGGGGGGGCCTAGGTGGGTGCTGCAGACTGCGGGTTCCAGGCCCTAGCAGTCAGTGTGGTAGAGGCCTACACTGCACAAGTGTGTGTAGAAAGAGGTGTCCATATCGGGGGCACGCCCAGCTGAGAAGAGCAGTGAAGCTAAGTAGTGTGGGTGCACACAGAGAGGGAGGGGTGCGAGGGAGGGGCAGATGAACCCTGGCCAGTTTCTCTGCCTGTGGCCCTTCTCTGGAGCTCTGATGCCTGGCGGGGTCAGCGCTCCTGGGCGTGGGCCAGCCTGAGGCACCATTTGGCCCCTGGAAGCCACAGAGCCTGCAGGAGGCTGCAGGAGCCCCAGGCCAGTAGGGTTCAGATGGCCTGTCCTAAGTGGCCTGCCTGTCACCGAGCATTCTGATTGGTGCCAAGTTCCTCAGTACAGCACAGGGAAGCTAGGAGCCACTGCCACTTAAAAAAGCCCTTTGCCTGCCTCCTCTGCTGGCTCTTTCTATAAATAGAGCCCCCACGTCCAAGGAAGGGGGGATCCCTTTTCCCCTTCCTCCCACCCATCCAGCTGCTCTGCTGTCAGGACATACTTCTCAAGGGCCTTCTCCTGAGTCCAGCCTAGCTTCCAGCTTAGCATTTTCCTCCCACCATGTGCTCACTTACGGGCAGAGAACTCAAAGGAGATGAACTTGGTGGGCTGGATGTAATTCACTAGGCTGGACATCTCCTCGTAAGCTGTCACCTCTAGGCCTGCTGTGCCCTAGGGAGGAGAGGGGAGGATGGAGAAGAGGAGGGCAACCCAGGGAGGTGGCCCCATGCCAGCTCCTGGAGGGCTCCGCCCTGGGGACAGCAGGAGGGGCTCGGGGCTGCCCCCTACACACCTCATCCGACTGCATCTTCTTGAGCTCCTCCTCATCCAAGTTTCCCGACTCCTCCTCCTCCTCTTCCACCTCTTCCTCCTCCGGCTGTGCCCCGTCCTCACCAGCCCACACTGCCACACGCACATCCGTCAGCACTGGGACCACAGTCCCTACACGTGGCCTCCAGGCCCAGCCCCTCTTTCCCCCTCTAGGCGTTTCCACACCCTGACCCCTCGCCACCCAGGCTGACTCACCTGGGTCCTCTCCCACAGAGGCACTGGGTGGGCAGCTGTTCTCAGCACCCCCACCCGGCTCCTTGCTGGGGGTTGCTGGGACAGAAAACTGGTTCTTTTTGTTCTTGATGAGGATCTTGCCTCGGAGATCCTCAGGGCTGGGCAGGGGGATGCCTGGTTTCAACTGTGGGAGAGAGGAGATGGTCGGCACCATCTCCATGCCTTCAGGGTGCAGCCTAAGCTCCTTCTTCCCAAGCTGTGTTCCATCTGTCCTGCCTGTTCTCCTGCCCTGCTTTGTCTCCCACAATTTCCCCCATCTTGTGTATTGCTCCTGCCATCCCAACTTACCCAGTTCCTCAGACAACACTCTTCTCCCTCACGTGCCTAGAATACCATTTCCTCACTCTCATCAAGATAAATCCAGTAACCCTTTGGATTCTGGCTTGCCATCCTTTCCTCCAGGAAGCCTTCCCTGATGCCCAGGTACTCCCATAGCAGCCACTGGTTGCGATGGCTTGGTTACTTGTTTGTGTCCCCACTAAAGGTGAGTGACCTGAGAGCTAGGACTGTGTCTTTGTCACTAACAGGCCCCTTAAAGCCCAGCACAATGCCTGACACATGGTAAGTGATAAGATCCTGGCCCCACAATCCTCCCAGATAAATCCCAACATCCTCTGGGGACATCTGCCTCCTTAACCTGGCCACCACGCTGCCCCAGGCCCCCTGCCCCCAGGCCCAGATGTTCCATAGCAAAGTCCACTCACTGGGAACTTTTCCAAGGGCTCTGTGAGCAGCATCTCCCCAAACGTCATCCGGCAGTATTCAGCCATCTTGGCCTGTTGGCGGGGTCTGCAGGGAGCAGAACTGACGTAGGGTTCAGCAGCTCCACCCCCTCTTGTCCATCCTTCTGGACCCCTGACCCAGGTCATCTCATTGGGGACGCAGGGAGGTAGGGACATAGGCAGCAGAGCCTGAGGTCCTGAGGAGCTTGTATGGACACCCTGGGCGGTGGGAGAGCTACAGGGCATGACTAGAGGTGGGGGATGGTTGGGGGAAAGAAGCTGCAGGCAGGAGATGGGGACAGGGGAGAGAAGGAGGCCGAACAGGTCTGGTCTGATACGCACGAGTCCACATGGTTTTCAAATGACAGGATGACAGGATAGGGGGAGGTCTTAAAGGCACTTTCTGCAATGGCTTCAATTGCTTCCTGGAGGAGAAGAGGGCTGGGTGGGGAGGAGGTCAGTGGCCCAGGTCCCTCCTCACCCACCCCACCCCACCCTTGCCCCCAGCGGCACCCTTCTCCACTCCCCAGTTTCAATATGCAGAGAACTGGAGGGCCCCCATTGGCCCTGTCTCCTCGGGTCCCCTTTAGTCCCCTCACTGATCTGAGGCCTCCTAGCCATCCTTCTTTTCTGTTTTTACCCACTCCCATAATCCCTACCCTGGGGCCCTTCCCTAGTGCCACTGCCACCAGCTTCCATGCCCGCCCCAAGTCTGACCTTGAAGTAGATGTCTGTGGTCATGGTGAAGCCATGGGTGATAATGGGCTCCTCATCAGGGAGCTTGCCCTTCCAGCAGTCCAGCTCCACGCAGCGGCAGCCGGCCAGCAGCACCTGGCGGTACATCTCAGCCGACGACAGGCCAGAGAACTGGCCGGCTGAACCAGAGCAGAGGGGAGAGGCCGGTCCAGCTCGCCCCTGCCCACTCCCACACCATCTGTCCTTTTGCAGCCTGCGGGCTCGCCCCGCAGAGGGATGAATTCAGGGGAACAGGAGCCGCACCCCAACCCCAAGAGGAGAGAGCACGCCGAGGTCACCCTGGTCACCTGTCAGGTAAGTGTTGTGTGAGGAGTTGATGAAGTAATGGTTGAGGGGCTGCGTCATGTCCTGGTGGAGAAGCAGCTTGTCCTGGGCCAGCACGCTGTTCTCAGGCCCGCAGAGAAACCACACCATGCCCTCGGGGGAGAGCTGGCCTGGGGGTGCGGGGCAGAGGAGGGAGGGGAGAGCTGTCAGGGCTGCAGCCCCTGGGCAGGGCGGGTCAGGCCACAGAGGGGAGGGGCTCCCTGAGTCCTCACCCCTCTGCACGTTGATGCCACTGGGCTCATACTTGTCAATGAGGCCCTGCACCTGGTCAGGCCGCGCCAGCGGAAACAGCAGAGAGTTGAGACGGGGGTCCCTCTGTTTCTGGTTGATGAACTTGGTCAGGTGTTCTTTGGTCATGTAAGGTTTGGCCTTGGCATGGCTGCAAGCCAGAGAGGGCACAGGTCTGTGGCCCCCCCCACCCCGGGGCTAGAGAGCACGGACAACTGCCTTCTCCAGAAAAGCCACCTAATTCCCAGCAAGGCAAGGGGGATTTTAGCCACCAGCCCTTCCCCAGGCCCAGCCCAGCCATGGAAGCTCACTAGGAAGTGAAGATCTCATCTATTTCTGGCCGAGGACAGAGGCTCATGAGGAAACTCTTGTAGACGGATTCTGGGAAGTCCTCAGGATTGATGGCATCGTTCTGGGGGAAGAGTGACCTGATCATTGCTGCACCCACCTTTTCCATGCTAAAAACCACAAATGAGGCCCAGCCCTGTACAAGGGAGCCTGTCAGAGGGAGGGCTCAGGGCAGGCAGAGCAGCATGGAGCTGGCTCCTGAGCACCCACTTTTCAAGGGGCTGGTTGCTGAGCAGAGAGCATGCTGAGCTGGTCTGTCTTGCCCCTGAACTTGGACACTGGCTAGTCCCTTGGCTGGGGCAGGATCAGAACTAGGAACAACCACAGAAGGAAGAAGAAGGGGTTAGAAGTAAGCAGGTCTGCCAGAGCTGTGGGTGATCTTCTTTCTTTCTTTTTTTTTTTTTTAAAGTAGAGGGCAGATGTTCCAAAAGAGGCATCTCATATAGAAACAATGCACCTAACAGCAGAGCCCCCTAATGCATGAGCAAAGCCTGACAGCAATGAAGGGCAAATAGACAATTCAACAGTAGTGGCTGGAGGCGCCAGGAAGCACGAGGAGCAGCCACAGAAAAGACAAACTGGACTTGATCCAAATTAGGAAGTTTTTGTTTTGTTTTTTTCAAATTAAAAACTTCTGTGCTTCGAAGGATAGCATCAAGAAAGCGAAAAGACAGTCCACAGAAGAGGGGGAAATATTTGCAAATCAAATATCCAGGAAGGAACAACTCAACAGTAAAGAGACAAAAAAAACCCAGGGGAAAGACAGGCAGAAGATTTGAACAGACATTTCTTCAAAGAAGATATGCAAATGACCAATGAACACATGAAAAGATCATCCATCTCCTTAGTCACTTGGGAACCGCAAACCAAAAACACAAGGAGATACCACTTCACTCCCACAGGACAATTCCAATTCTAAAAAGACAGACAATAACAAGTGTTGTTGAGGAGATGGGAACCTTCGGACATTGTCGGTATGATGGTACAGTGGTCAGTCACTCTGGAAAATGGTTTGGCAATTCCTCACAACGTTAAATATAGAGTCTCCATGTGACCCAACTATTCTACCTCTAGGTATAGAGAGTGAAAACATACGTCCCGACAAAGTCATGCACTCGAAGGTTCATAGCAGCCTTATTCAAAATGATTAAGATGTGGCCACAACCAAAAGGTCATCAGCTGATGAACACGGAAGCAAAAGGCGATAACTCCAAATCCCAGGATATCACTCAGTGGTGAAAAGGCACGATGTGCTGAACTGGACTACAGCGTGGAAGAACCCTGAAACCCTTATGTTAAAGGATTGAAGCCTGACGTCAAAGGTCACGTAGTCTGTGATGTCCAGCTTAGGCAACTTTACAGAAAGAAACTGCAAGGAGATTAGTGGTCTGTGAGGCATCTGTGCCTTTGCATTCCAACCCAGAAAAGCCCCTTAAACATAGTCCAGGATCCGGAAGGGTAACATCAGGCTTAATTTGGAGCTAGAGCAGAGGGTCTGAACAAGAGAGCCAGACTGTATCTCCCTAAGACTGGATCTTGGACCCATTGGCTACAAGCGAAGAGGGGTCAGTGACTTCTACTGGGACATAAGGAGAGCTGACACGTAAGAAGGATGGCCAAGGTGGGAGCTCAGCAGGCAGGAGAGGAGGGTGGAAGTGTAGTAGAGGTCCTGGCAGCAGGGCTGTCTGCAGGAGCCCATTCCCACTCTCTCTCCACCCTCATGCTTGCGTTCCTGTGACCTTCAACATCAAGAGGGCACCAGAATGCTTGAGCTGTGACTTGAGAGGGAGGAGTCTTCCTGGGCCCCTTGTGGACAGGTAATGGATGAGGTCTTAGTTTTATTTATAAATTACAAATTCTTATCATGAGGCAAAACCCCATGGGGTGCAGGTGGTACCCCATACAAAGGCTCTGGCCAAGGGGGCCCAGGGGTCTTGAGATCCACTTCCCTAGCCAGGCACAAACCCTGGGCTCAGGGCTGTATCTGCCCAGAGGACTCCTTTTTGTAATCCACAGAAGGTCCCTCATGGGGTGACCCAGCCTACATCTTGTAATTAAAAATCATTTAATCAGAAGGGAAAAAAAATAATGTTTTCCTGGGTTGAGCTAAAGGCTAGGTCTTGGCAGCTTCAACCCTTGGTCTGTTCCCCTCCCCCGACACTCTGCAGAGCTAACCCCTTCCGCACCCCGGGTGCTTGCTCTAAACGCAGTCCACCAACCACTGCCCTCTCTAGCCACCCAGGTGTAGGCAGTAAAGACCAAGCTGCTCTGGACCCAGGCACCTCATCCCCACTCCCTGGAATCTGTCTCTGTGCCTTGTATCAGAAACCAGTGCTCTTGGGTTAACTGGCTTTTTGGGCTATTGGCTGGGCCCTACAACCCCAACTGGGCCTGGCCAGCTCAGGGGAGGGCCTGGGCTGGGCTGGGAGAACCACTCACCTTGCCTTTTGGGAGGTGGCAAGCACTGAGGGCAGCTTCCACCCGCTTGCGGTCAGCAGGAAACATCTGGAAAAAACTAAAGGAGCAGAGAAAGGCAGGAGCCAAAGAGCCGGGTCAGACCTGGAGAGGGAAGGCTTCGAGGAGCTGGGCGGAAGTCTGGGGACAGGGAGAGCTGGGGAGACTCACTTTTTCACAGGAATCTTCCCTTCCGGATTGAGCTGCATCTTGAGCTTCACGAGGCTAGTGGGGCGGAAAGTGGCTTATCAAGGCCCTGGGGCTGGCGCGTGGAGCCCCACACGCGGATGCCAGGCACACAGAGGCTGGGCACACAGGCACTTACATTTTGTCCAAGAAGGTGCTACGGGAGGCATTGGCCGTCAGTGGGTGCTTGGCAAGGGCCAGCACATCTTCGGCCCAGCTCTGCGGGACCCCAGAGCACAGCAGTGAGACCCCTGGCCACACATGGATGCCCCCACCCCCTGCAGCCCAGGCGTCCTGCAGGAACCCCGAGCTACCCCAGGTGCCCAGCCCCAGGCCTGCGCCGCACACCTCCCCACACACCCTCCGGCGCACCTTGCCCACATTCTCCTTATAGGAGACGAAGTTGTGGAAGGTGAGGTCTACCATGTCAGGGCCAGACACCACAGTGAGTGTCTTGAGGAGAAAGTTGTTGTCGGGGAAGTCCATGTTGAAGACGTCCCGGAGCTTCTGGCTCTGCAGGAAGCAGAGACACAGTTAGGATCAGAAGCGTGCCCCTGTCCCCTCTCCACTGCGGTTCTCCCCATCCCTCCCCACCGCACTAGAACGGTGGCCACCTAGGGTGGAATCCCATCCCCCATGGGCCTCAGCATCTTGGCCTCCCTGACTCCAGGTGCTAGAGTGTGAGCGAAGAGCCCACAAGAAGAGATGAAGCCAGCACCCAGCCTGGGTGTGCTGAGTATCATGTTTGCCATTTTCCATTTGGAGATGGATTCTTAGCTCCCAGTCTCATAGAAGCCTGCTTTCCGCCAACCCCTTCCTCCAATTTTCCTGCCGGCTTTAGACAAATACAGGCAAGCGGGACGGGGAGGGCAGTGGGCATAAGCCACACTCCCAGGTAGTCTGAGTTGCTCTGGGGGCAGGACCTGGCCACATGACATCTCTTCACCATTCCCTGGTACCAAAGCTCTGGCAAGCTCAGGGGCAGCCACACCCCTTCCTCAACTCAGGGAGGAGGCCTGCTGCCCAGCCTGGGAACTCTTCCCCTCGCTGTAGAGATCAGGCTTGCTACCCCCACAGGGACTCCTGCTCTCTCCCAAGGAGCTTGTGGCCATGCTGAGCCTGGGCTGCCACTGTGCCCGCCTACCTTGGGTATCTTGGCAAACTTCCCAAAGCGGGTATCCCTGATGCTGGTGATATCCAGAAACTCCATCTCCTGGAGCATGCCCCAGCAGGAGCAAAGAAGGGATGTAGACAAAAATGTCAGTGAAGAATGAAGAACAGAGAGGAGGGAACTTCCAACGCCCCTTCACATCTTGGCTGACTGCCTTCTGTAGAAGCCAAGACTTTCCGGGGTGGCCCCTGGAAGGTTGGTGGACCCCAACCTTCCCTTCCCACCAATCAGGTTCTCCCTGTTCATGGTGAGCCTCCTCCCTTCTTCTGTCCATTCCTTCCCTGGCCACACAAGTGACTCCGGAGCTGTGGCCTGCGATTTTGCCCACTCTCCTGGACTCGCCCCAAGCTCCCCCTCCCTTCCCTACATCCCGGTGCTGAGACCCTTCTGGATCTGTCTGAGCCCTCAAGTTTCCCAGAACCACAGGTAGAGAAACAGGCTTTTTCCTTTTCCTCTCCCAGGGCAAATAGCCCCGGCCCACAAGAGCAGAGGCTGCCCCAGAGCCACCCTCCCAGGTCATCGTGTACTCCCGGGGCATTCACACCCCCACCCCTGCACTATCAAAAGGCCGCTTGGACTGAGTGCATCAGCAGGAGCTCAGGGAGGGGGCTGCCTCACCTTACTCTGATATGTCCAATATAAGTAGTAACCCTTGGGATCCACACGGAGGATAACTGGGGAGGCTATTGTAGTTTCCTATAGACAGAAGTGGTCAAAAGGAAAAGAAACAACAACAACAACAAAAAGACAGAAAAAAAGAAAGGGTCAGCTCTCAGCTCTGAGACCTCCGGCCAAGCTTCCCCGGCCCAGGCCAGGGTTTCAGAGCTCACCATCTCCCTGGGAGGCGGCTGACCAGGGACTCTGCAGGCATATTCTTTGCTCTCCAGAGCTCTGGGCTAGGCACAAGCCTTAAAACCTCTGAATCAGGGGTGGGGAGGGGGAGAGAATTAGAGATAGCGTTTCTGAAAGAGAAGTTTCCCCTCTAAATGCCAAATAGAGGTTCTCCCTCTAGACCCCAAACACGTCTCGGCCCCCACCTCCCCCTGTTTTCAAAGGCCACAGCTCAGCCAAAGGGCTAGAATGTCTCCTTGCAAGACTCAGTGCTGCCCCTCAGGAGAACTCAACACAGTGAGAGCTAAGAGCCCAGCTCCTGCACTTGCATGCGAGGCCCTACACCTGCTACCTGGCTTTCCACAGGCCCCATCCCTGCCTCCACAAACCACTCCCCAAAGAACCCATCCCCAGCCAATCCATCCAGTCCATGTCTATGGTCTCCCACAGACCCCAAGCGCATTCCCACCTCCAAGCCTAAGAACCCAGCCCTCCCCTGCCTGAAATACCTTCGGAGAGCCCCCCAAGTCTCCCCTCTTCTGAAAAGCCTTCCATGAAACACACTAGACTGGTGTGGATGTGGTTTGCACAGCTAGAAGCCTATCCATAAAAATCCCCGAGGGCTTGTGGACTCCAGGGAAACCAGCCTGTGCAGTAGCTAGCTAAACTATAAGTCTGTGTGCTAGACCCATGAGCTCAGGGCTCCCTGTTTGCTGAAGAAGCCCGGGAATGATCACCGCACTAGCTTCTAAACTCCCATTCCACTCACAGAGGGCAAAGGCTCGCCTTCATTTTGATGGTCTTCGTATGCATATAAACCAAGATAATGAAGTTGAAGTTTCCAACAAGGCATGGTCGTTGCTGCCCACCAAACAAGATCATGTGCAGAATTTACAAAGGAAATGGTTAAAAAAAAAAAAAAAAAAAGTTCTCAGGTCAAGGATGGTTAGAGTCTGGGGTAAAAAACACTTTGTGAGGAGGCTAATTTTGGAGAGATCTATCTTGTGAGCTCCACTCTCTGCCCTCCCCGCAGGAGGGTTGGTGGTGCCTGACCCCTCACTTTATTTTTTTTTAAAGATTTATGTATTTATTCGAGAGAGAGAGACAGAGCATGAGTGTGTGGGCATGAGCACAGGCAGGAGGAGGAGGGACAGGAGGAGAGAACAAGAAGCAGACTCCCCACTGAGCACAGAGCTCTGAGCAGGGCTTGATCTCACAACCCTGAGATCATGACCCGAGCCTAAATCAAGGGTCAGACGCTTAACCGACTGAGCCATCCAAGTGCCCCCTGACCCCTCACTTTAAGTGTAGTGAGGGGTTTCAACTATACTTAGAAAGCTTTGGTCCCCCCTGCAGCTGTGGGGCAAAGTAGACTGGGATCTGACTCCTGCCCAGGAAACCGAGTGTCAGAAGCACTGAGACCCTGGTTGTGCTCGATGAGCCCAAACCCCAGGGTGTGTTGGTGCAGTGAACAGAGTGTATGTGCTTGGGTTCAGAGTGGTCCTGTGGGAAAGAGGGGCAGAGTCCAAAGCTACAGGAAACTGAAGGTGGTAACTGGATTCCAAGGACCTGACGAAGTAATTTTGAGTGACCTCCCAAAACAGGGATGGCAGAAGGATCCCTATGTAAGGGACCACCAGCTCGGTGGGCAAGGGTCTCCTCACTTTGAGGAGAAGCCTCAAAAATGTCCACCAGAGAAGGACTAAGCCCAACATTGTGCGAGGCTCAGAAAGCAGGAGCCCGTTGATGATAGCACCTGTTCAGTTAAGAACTTTGCTACCCCCTCCACCTCCCTGCCTGCACCCCATGGTGAGGAGGGCTTGGAGGAAGATCAGAGACCCCTGCCACCAATCTTAGAACACCTACAGCCCACATAAACCACTCCTAGAAGGAGGAGGGCAGAACACATCATCCAAGACTTGAGTTCAGAATTATAACTCATTTCTGAAATAAGACTGCATTTTATGAGGAAAAGTGATCCTAGGATTGTCTATTATCCAGAAGCAAATGGAATGTCTTGTGACTGGCTGAGTGTCCTTCCACGAGCAGGAGAAGAGCTTCTCCCACCAGATACACTGTGAAGGGACCATGGGAGGCAAAATTGAGCTGGGAGTTGGTTACATATTTTGCCTCGGGCTTATTCAACATGGCAGGACGTACTCAAGTCGTTGGCCAACTGGGCTAAAGGCATTCTGAGCAGAGCCCTGTCTCACAGGCACAAATGCCCTGTGACTAGGCTTAGGAGATTCCTGCTCCTGGAGTCAGGATTCTTGGGCCATGCTGTGCCCTGCGTCAGGGAGGGGAGTGGGGCACCCAGCTACACAGGTACTGGCCTGCAGAGAAGGCCATAGAGCGTGTCCCCACCCCTAATGACCCTCTGCCCAGTCAGGTTACACACACTTCCCAGAGGAACTGAGAGAGGCCACTTCATTTTTCATTCTGAGCCACTTCCTTCATTCCACAGTCTCCTGGGACCTGTCACCACCATGCCACGTCGCCCACACCACTCGTAGGGAAGCAGAAAGCGTCTCACCAGGGGCCTCCTACCCATAGTCATGGCAACCAGATTACTCAGCCTAGTGCAGCCCTGAATGGCCAAGAGCTCCAGGCTGCCTTAACTCACAGACCCAGAATCCCCTCATCACACCAGTGAGGAGAATGAGCCAGTCCTAAGGGCCTCCTCTCCCCCCAAGAGCCTTCCAGCTTCCTTCTCAAGACCAGCCCACTGTGATTAGCTCATGGGTCTGCCCAGCAGCCTCATGAAGGACCCCACGATGTTCTCTTCGCCTGCCCAAGGGAATCCCTGGCCTGTCCCAACATTTTCAGAAGCCAGGAGGCCCAGAATCTGGGAAGCAGGCCCCAGTCTGAGAAGGAAAAGACAGCAGAGACAGAGGGACAGGGCAAAACAGCGGCTTCCCCCTTTCCTTGCCAACAGGCGGGTGGCGGGAGCTCAGCTGAATGCAGCCTGCAGAAGCAGAAGTCGATCAGTTCCTTCCTAGGCCCCTGGGAGCAGAAGCCTCTGGTTCTCCCTTAGGGTGCCCCTCAGGCTTTATGGCTGCCCCGCAGCAGCTCGGGGGAGAATGGGGCCTCCCTGGGCCAAGGCAGGGCCAGATGGAGAAGAGCAAGAGCAGGGCATCTGTGCTAGAAGTAGGGGCCTGGCCCTGCCACAGCTTTGGGGTCTTTGCTCCCACTCGTGCTGAGCTCAGGATGCCCCCTGCTTGTCTTGGGCGTTTGGGGGACGACAGACCCCAATGCAAAGAGAGTCCCTCCCTTGAGAGTACCCCAGTGGGCACATCCTCCCATCCCATCCCGACACAGAGCCCTAGCCCCAGCTGTCCCGGGGTGAGTGTTCAGGGTCACATACCCTTGCCAGGCTGTCCTATCTGCTGCCTGGCCAAGCCACATTGGCGCCACACAGGGCAGACATTAACCAGCTCCCTCCCCCACAAAGCCCCTAACGGCAGGGCGCCACCACCCCAGTGCCCCACTCACATCGTCCCATTTGATGAAGCGCTCCCCTTGGCTCAGATAAGCCTTCACCTTGGGGGACAGCAGGACAGGGTTGAGGAGAGACATGGTGCTAAGTGTCCCTCTCTGGAGAGGCTATACAGGCACACACGGGCAGGAGGAGGAAAGGAAGGAAGGCCGGCTGGAGGTGCGCCAAGCTGGGCTCACATGGCATCCGTCCTGAGCGGGTCCGGAAGTCGGATACTCTTAGAGCCCCCGGGGTAGCAGCGCCTGGTAGCTGGCGGCAGAGCTGAATGCTTTGGCCAGAGGCCCGTCTGCCTTTTAAATCGGCCTCCTCCCACCTGCCTTCAGTAGGGACGTTGGGGGGAGCTGTGGTCACTGCTCCTGCCCAGGGAGGTTAGGCTCCCCTCCCTAAAGCCCCCGCCCTCCGCCTGTGTCTCAGCACTTCCTGCTCAGGGCTTCCTTCTCTGTGCTCTTCAGGACTGAGGGGCGGGTTCCTGAGGCCTGGTTTCCTTGGAGCCCGGGCTGGTGGGGTGTTGGTGGTGGTGGGCAGGGGTTCTCAGTCCCAGGAGTAGTCTCTGGTCGGATGAAGTTGAGGGGCTGGAGAAGGAACAATAGAGGGACCACATGGGGTCCTGGTGCCCAGGCTGAGCCTGAGGGGAGTGTGTCAGGAGCTCCCAGGGGAAGGGACCTCTGCAGAGGTGGCCTCTAAAGCACGGGAGTCTCTTCCAGGGGCTGAGGAGGCTGGGACGCCTCTGGAAGTGGGAGCTGAAGGTGGGGCAGGGCCCAGCTGGGATTGGATGTTTTGAATAAGCAAAGTTTGCTGAACACCCAGCTCCTCTTTCTCAATGCTTCCTCCCATGAAAATGAGGTACGAGTGAGGCAATCACGCCTCTCAGCCGCCTCCACGCGTAACTAAGTCCTCTTGGCCCCCTGGGCCTGGCAGGGCCTGGACCCTCCATAGACCAGACATGACCCAACACACAGCAACACGCAGCCACCAGCCTCCACAGTGCTCTCTTGCCAGGCTCTCTTCTCTGCTCCGTGCCCAGGGCCTGGGTGAGAATGCTGGGACCAGGAGGCTGCTTAGAGAGACCTTGGCTCTGGGTTCCTTGTCAGGGTACATGAACCTCACACTGACCTGGCCCAGGGAGCTCAGTCCCAGCCTTGCTCAGCCAGCTCACTTCCTCTTGCCTAACTTGCTCCTCTTTATCACCCTTCTTAACTTAGCTGGGGGAGCAGGGAGCTCTGCCTGGGACTTCCTTCCCCTCTCAGGGCCTGCCTTTCTGCCCTAGGGCCTACCGTGGGCCTTTGTGCCACCCCTGAACAACTGTGGGACCCTCACCCAGGAAAGGGATTCCAAGATTCTGAGACCAGTGGGGTGGATCTGGTAATAAGACCTCAGAGGCTATGGCAGAAGCTCTGGAGCTGCTCTCTGCTCTCCTGCCCTCTGCCCTCAGAACTCATCCTCTCTCCCCTCCCTCCAAGCCTGCAGGCTCTCATCTCTCCTCCCTGCCTCCCTCCAGCTTTGTGCCCCTCTGGGGGCCCATCTGGTGCCCCAGCAGTTCCTTGTTCCCTCCCAGGGATCAGGTTCCCTCTTGGTCTGTTTGAATGGATTTTGCAAGGGAAATCCTGGCCCTTTCCCAAAGACCCTACACCTGTCACCTGCAGCCGTCCCTGGTCCTGCACCCAAGTCCTTCTCCCTCTTGTCTGCTTTGAAAGATAATCCCCTCCCTCTCCCTCAGCCTGGGGAAAGACAAGGGACAGGCTCCTCTCTTGTCATGGGATTGGGGATGCCGCAAGGAAGGCAGAGATTTCAGTACTCCTTACTCTGATCCTGTCGATCTTGGGCTCTGAAGGTTGAGGCTCTAATCCACAGAATAGAGCCTTACCCATCTTTGGCCAGTGATGGCCATGCCTGGACCCCATTCTTGAGACCCCCCCCATTGTAGCTTCAGTAGGGCCTGTATTCTCCTGCCCACATCCTACCTAGCAGCCCTCAGAATGCAAGAAATCCATGCAGCAAGGGGAGCCAGGAAAACCTTCATCAAAGAGGACTTTGTTTTTTCTTTTAAAAATACACTTAGGTTTCTTAAAATGTGAAATGACAAAGAAAAATGTTGCATAAATCATGTTGGAGTGACTATGGAGAAAAATCAGGGAGGCCACACGAATAGCCATTTTGGGAAATGGGGCTCCTGGGCTGAGCTGAGTAGCAGGCACCCCACACTGCCCATCTCACATCGCCCCCCCCCACCACCCCAGCAGGGCAGAAGGTAGAAGGACAAGGGTGCCCCCTTGTGGGCACACTGGAAAGCACGTACCTCCAGGCAAGGAGGACTCTCAGGGAGGTCACTGGCGGGTCTATATCCTGTGTGATCCACAGAAACAAGTTCGCTGGAGAGTTTGGCATGTGTGAGCTTTGGCGGCCAAGAACTTGTATTCAGCGTAATGCCTCCCAAGGAGATCCTGGGGCCTAGAACCCAAGAGGCAGGTCTGGAATTCTCAGGCTCACTTGGCGGTTTTGTGTGGGGACCCCATGCTGTGGTTTCCCAACCTGTTCATCAGAGATCAGTAGTGGAAACTGAACTTTGATCTTCACCTGATAGCCAAACAGGAGAGTCAGATTGGCCTGGTTTCTTTCCTGATACCATAACTTACCTGATAAAGCAGTGGGCTTTGGGAGCCTGGAGGCAGAGGGCACCTCTCAGGCCGATGGCTAGCTCCTTTCAGAATGAAGATGGCTTGGTTGTTGAATCCTCAGGGGTTCGCTTCCCACACTGTCATAGGGAGTCACGCTCACTGCTCCATGAATCCAGCCACTGACCAGCTGTTTTATCTTGTGATACTTAACCTTCCTGTGCCGCCTCTTTCTCACCTATAAAGTGGAGATCATAATACCTCAAATGGCTGTTGTAAGTCTTCAACAATATAATGTATGGAAAGTACTTAACATGGTGCCTGCCCGTGAGCTTAGTAGTATCATTATTGTTATTTATCACCATTATTTATTAGCGGACACTGGCAAGGGAAATACAGTTCTCATTACTTCGTCCTCAGTATATATGCTATTCTTTCCACAAGTGTCTTCACTTGTGGAGTGCATTTTGGAGTGATTTTTCTATCTTTTTCTCAGCAGTTTGTGTGGATTGGGGACTGATGGATCTTCCCAGGGCAGGCAGAGTTAGGGGTGCTCCTGGTTGTGGACTTGAAGCAGGCTCTCCCCTGTTGAAGCAGGCAGACTGAACTCATGAAGTCATGAGCGTGAGGACTCAAATTATGGACAAGGGTCAACCTCCTGAGGCAGGTGGGAGAGTGAGGACCAGGAGCCGTCCACCCATCCAGCTGTTTGTCCAGCAGTGGCTCCAGATCTAGCCACCCTCTGCACTTTGAGGGCTGGGTGTGGAGAAGGCAGCTGAGAGGCAGGTGCTGGTTCTGGTCCCTTGGGGAGGATAAGAAAGACTGTAAAGAGTTTTCTGCAAAAGCCCAGGGGGAAGACATTGCCTGTCCTCCTATGCCAAGCCCTTCTAGAATCATAGAAGGAACCATCTGGGACTTAAATAACTCCCATGTGTGTTTCCCTTTGTTTTTGTTTTTGTTTTGTTTTTTTTGTCGTCTTTTTTGTTTTTTTTTTAGAGAGGGAGGGGGCAGAAGGAGAGGGAGAGCATCTTTTTTTTCTTATAAATTTATAAATTCATAAAAATTTTATAAATTTTTAAATTTATTTGAGAGAGAGCATATGTGGGGATGGAGGGAGGGCAAGGGGGGGAGGCAAAGGAAGAGGGGAAGAATCCCAAGCCAACACTGTGCTGAGCCAGTCATGGGGCTCAATCCCACAACCCACGAAATCATGACCTGAGCCAAAATCAAGGGTCCACCGCTTAACTGACTGAGCCACCCAGGTGCCTCCCCTATGTGTTTCCCTTTTAAGTGCCATCAAACTTACCTGAAAGAGTGAGCGCTGGGCCCAACCTCAAAACCCAGAGTTTAGTCTCAGCCAGAGCAAAAGTTTGCCGTGAGATCTTGGCAAGTTACCTGAGCTCCCTGATCTATTAAGCTTTCGATTCATTCTCAGATTCCTTCCAACTCTAAAAATCGTTCTCTTTCTAATCAGAAGAGCCAACCTTGTCACTCTTCTCCCCTGCCTTTCCTCTGACAGGTGATAAACCTAGAGATGAGAGCTGCAGATGGCAGGAAAGTTTGACTCCTACCCCAGCAAGATGTTCTTGGACCCGGTTTTCATATTCTCTGCCTCTGTTTATCTCTCTGTGAGATGGATCAGTCTTTATGAGCGCAATGGGAGGAAGTTAGATGCTGTCCTTCTCCCGGTGGGCTGGGTGTGTGACGCATAAGCGATGCCCTCAGAGCTGACCTTGTCAGCTGACTTTGTCCTTCCTCCTGGGCTGGCCCACCTTTTCTATCAGGGCCTGGGTCAAGGTACAGTGAACAAGCCCCTCACCTTTTTGGATAGCAGGAAGCCAGTGAGGATGGGAAATGTGTTGGGAGATACGCTCGGGATCCCAAAACTTCCTAACCTGCTGGATGGAGAGCAGCCTGAACCTCATAAGGTAAAAGGAACAGGGCTCAACGGAGAGATCCGGGCTGGGCTCCAAGGCACCAACTGTACAAGGACAGGGTGGGAAAGTGGCAGCTTAGCAGAGGCATGTGTGAATAAAACTGAGGTTTTTTGCTGACAGCCAGCTCCGTATGAGTCAAATGAAAAGGCTGCTAGCTAAGCGGACAGCCTCTCGGGCTGCTGAATTAAAGGACTGAGCCCAGTGATTCTCCATCTTGGTATCTAACAGCATGGCCTGGGAAGCTCTGAGAATACTGTGAGACTGGCTGCATCCAGACCCTCTGAACCAGGACCTGGAATGAGTGGCGGGGGAGAGGGAAGCAAGGCAAGGAGTTTGGATTTCTAAAGTGCTTGACCCTTGGCTCCCGCGAGCCGCTAGGGCTAGGGCCCGAGAACCGAGAAAGACTCAGCCCCTTCTCATTCTTGGCATGCGTGTCAGACCACAACCGAGATACGCGGGGGACCTCAGTTTAGGATGCTTTATCCTGAGGAAACACACAAGCTGGAGAACATTTGGTGAAGGGCAGCGAGGATATAGGAAGCCCACACATGCTGTGAGGACTTAGAGAAAACCACAGCATGGAAGACAGCGGTGGTCCACGAGACCCACCTTCAGATGCTTAGACTTGTCCTCTGGGGTCCTAAAGGTTAGAATCTTAGGTGACAGTCTTAGGTCAGGCTTCTCGTGAAACATTATGAGACAGAGATTTGCTTGCGGGAAGTTTATTGGGAGGTGTTCTCGGAAGCAACACAACACCCTTGAGGGAGGGAAGGAATCAGGATGGGGGCGGTAGGAATCAATCAAGGACACAGTCACCACAAAGGACACCTCCATGAGGAGGTTTAGGGTTGAGA